CGCATATCCATGAGTGTGTTTGGCTTCGTGCCAACCCGGGATGAGCCCGCAGAGTGCCTCCTGTGGACCCGTTGAACGGGTGTATGTCCATGTTCCCCGGCTTTGGAACGCAGATGTCCGCAGCGGACAGCAGGTGGCCTAGGCCGTACGTACGATGATTTTTGTCCCATCTTTGGAACTCTAAGCTGGCTTATGCCTTTACGTGACCGCAGCGGTCAGAGGTGGCAGCCCTCGGGCAAGCCGTACGTGGTCGCAGCGACCAAAGCTTGTTCAAGGTTCATTGGAACCTGTCGCGAGCTTAGTCCCCCCCTCCTCCCCCTTCCCTTCCCCTTTCTTTCTTTACTTTCTGGGGTTTTTCCTGAATGGAATACTCAGGATCTCCCCTCTCTTTCTTTGGTGTGTCCCTGGACGATCGTTCGTAGCTGGGAACACCTTCCTTTCTCTCCTCTCCCTCTCACTCCCTCTCTCTTTCTTTCCTTCTCTCTTCCCTCTCTTTTCCCTCTTCCTTGGGTGTCCCTGGATGCTTTCGTCATAGCTGGGAACCCTTTTCCTCTCCTCCTTTGGTGTGTCCCTGGACGCTTGTGTCGTAGCTGGGAACACCTTCCTCCCCTTTCCTTTCTTCTCTTTCTCTTTCTTTTTTCTTCTCTCCCTACCCCTCCCTCCTGTCAGGACCTTAGTGTGGGTTCTTACTAGGGGCTCCTGGCCTTCTTACTAGGACGCTACTTTGGTGCTTCTAGGGGTTCCTGGCCTTACTACTAGGCGCAGAGGTGCCTCCCCTTGGGGAGGCGTGTGTGTGTGTAACCATTGGAATCACAGAGATCCGTTAATTTCTTAGTCTCACTCCACATTTGGCGCGGATCTTGCCTCCCTTCGGGGAGGCGTGTGTGTGTGTAACCCTTGGAGTCATAGGGATCCTTCCGGATTTATTTTATTTTGTATTATCGCAGGGGGTGCAAGCAGCCCATCCAGTCTTGCACCAACGAAGACACTGGATGTGTGCTGGTGATATCGATTTGGGACGCCAAATCGACGTACCTGCTTTGAATTGAACCTACGTAAATGCCAAGCTGTCTCATTCTTTGTTGTGCAGTAAGCGTCTAATGCAGCGGTGATTCACCTCAGATTGTGAGCTTGATCTTCTGCACGAACGTCGTCACCTTGTCGTCCGCTCGATCGGCATTTTCTTTTGGAGTTGCTGGCCACCTGAAACCTTTGGGACCTCCGCTGGATGGACCTCCTCTTCCTTCTTTAGGTTTCCTTACCTGTACCCTTAGGAAATGGAACCCTAGGCCGGCGTGTGGCACCGCTATCACATCAGTACGCATATCCATGAGTGTGTGTGTGTGTGCACATTGCCTTTACCACTCTATGTTCGGATCGACTTGTCAATTATTTGTGACGTTGAGCACCAGTTTAACCCTGAGCGGGACTACGGTCGTTTGTCAGACTTTGGCCATGTCATCACCAATGGTGGTCCAGTCGATGCAAAATGGACGGCATTGACATGATACATTTACTGTGGGCAATGTTCTGACAAGGTAATTTTTTTTGTCCTGCAGAAAGTGGGCACTTCATGTCCATTGATTGGGAGTTGAATTGGTTTGGTACGTGTCTCAACTTACTTTCTTATGCTTGCTTGCCAGCATGGCCATTTGCCCTCACACAGGACATGCTGGCTTTGAAGTATGGAGTGCAGCTGGATGAGTTCGATTTTGTCAACAAAGCGAAGGCCATGATCGCCCTGATAAGTGGTAGACTGGATGCTTTAACTTATATCCGCCTTTGCGGATCGAATGTGTTCGCATCGTTTAATCTGTACGGCATTTGTTGGTTCCGAAATTGCTTGAAGATTGGTGGCTTGGCATCCCATGACGGTGCCATTGTTTGACAGTAGATGCCATGACGAGTGATCACGGACGGACCTGCGACGGGCTCGAAAGCTGGGCGCGGTAGATTGCGGAAGACAGGAGAAGCAGCCTGGTGCATTCGAACATGGTGTAATCCACTCTGAGGGTCTTGCAGTAAGTATAATTGCAAATCCCACCAGATCTATTCTACAAGTTGAAGAGCCGATAAATGCCCAAGTAGAGCTGTCAACCTTTCTTTGTCAGCCATTGCTCCTAGACTTAGAGTTGGAATCTTGCTGACAATTGCCCCCACTAATAGGCAGGGCACCAACTCTCACCCTCGGCCAGACAAATCGCATTACATGCAATCAGCTAGCAAATCCAAGTCACATCGGAAACGATTTTGCGCGCCCATTCCATGCTGGACACTTCAGCTGCCAGCATGGCAGGCAGTTTTGCTTGTTTGCAGCAGGTTTGCTGAAGTGAAGTTGCACCCCTGTTGTCCCTCGTACAAGGCCTCATTCACTGAGGATGTGACACTCGTTTGATTGGAGAGGAGCAGTCATGAATTCACTATCATAAACTGAGCAAATCTCGGAACATGTGCTAGAATTATTCCGTACTCGTACATTGTATACATTATTGTTATATATACTGTATTTATATTATATATATTATATATATAATATATTATATACATGTCATATATCAGGCTCTATCAGATAGATTGCGGTAGGTCCTTCGGTTGCAAGCAAGGCTGGTGAATTCCGTGAGGCCTTGAACTCAACAGCACTGCCTTGGCTTTGGATGTGCTTATTGAGGGTGATATGGCGGGGGATCTCAGTTTCCTGGCGTCTCGTTCAGACGAACCGTTCAACCAACCTTTGCCTCAAACCATCGTATTTTACACCCTGTGGGTTGTAGCCTCAAGTAGCCTCAAGTCGCATACGAACCAAGGTGGGAAGTTGACGCACCAGTTTCACGACTTGGCACCTCCGGATCACATGTAGATCAAGTCGCATCGATCCTCTCATCCCAGAATCACTCATAGCTCCGTGCTCCGAGGCACGGCACGGACGGGTTTCCTGTCCCCACCCTTCGCCAGGACTCACCTCGATCTTTGGCATGGCTTTGGCAAACCGTGGCCGCCGCTTGGTTCCTCTAGTGACCTGCTACACTGAGGGGCTGGGACCTCAGCGATCTCCTGGTTTTGTTCTGATCGATGGTCAACCCAGGCGACATGCTGCTGGGCTGTCAGTGATGTCATTTGCGTGGCTTGGCGCCAACAGCCAACCGTCATCGATTGGGTTTGAGGAAGGATGAATTCCAGTAAGTTTATGGATTCGGAAGCGGATCATGAGATTGAAGCACTTCACCTTAAATTACACCGACAGTGCAATAATACATAATAATATCACGATGCTGTGAACCAGTGTAGCCAAGTCCGACTGGTCATTGGATATGTACGAGCCACAAAGGAGGAAATAACAAATAAGATGCTTGTCCAGCTTGCAAGGATGCCTGTATCCGTCCTCCGGCTGCTGCACCCAAGCTGAAAAGAAGAGACTTCAAGTGCTTTCATGTTCAGTCCAGTCAGTATACACCGGGAAGCATGTCCGAATGATCAATAAATAGAAAACGGTTGCACGAAGAATCCCATAGAGATTGATTTATTTTGAATCGCCATTCTTTTTAGCTGGCCGACGGGCCGATGCTTGAACTATATAAGCACACTTTAATGGTATTTCGACCTGTCATACTCCTCAAAGTCTTGGCCCAGGTAGAGGATGTTGAGCCACCATCGCCGCCCACGGATTCTGAGCCCAAAGGCACCCTGCGAAGGAGACGGCCAAAACCGCTCAGCGTGGGAGCCCAGAATTGAGCAAAGTGAACCGTTGATGGATGCAGCTTAAAACGGAATCTGTCCATGGCGGCAGTTTTTGGGTTGACTGGAGATGGCGTATTGAATTGTTTGAATTGCGTTTGCGCGGATTGCGCCTGATTCATGGTTCATGCAAAAATATCAAAAATGCTTGCTGCCCAGCTGTGTGTTCTTGGTGAGGCAATCTGGTAGAGCAGGCTGCCAAACCGTTGAGGAGGGTGAATTCCCCAAGGCTGCGACCGTGCACTTGGGCAATCGGAAGGATGGCGGCTGCCGGGTAGAGTCCAGACCTACAGAATCCTTAGAACACCGGACACGATCACTGTTGAACACTGCGTTTGATGGGTTTGTTTGCTCATGTTTGTTCAACAAAGGTGTTTATTTTGGACTTCTGGTTTGGTTTGGCAGGCGTGGCTTACTTGTTTAGGGGTTGGTTTGGTTTGGCTTTAGCTGGCTTGGCTTGCGTGTAAAAAAGCTGGACCTGCAGGGAGGGCGCCTAGCCCGACCAAATTTGAGTTGCCACAGCTGGTGTGTGGCGCCGGCCCCAAGTATGTAGAATTGCTGCTTTGCCACGGCACCATCGCATACTTTCGACTGCTAGTGGCACAATTGAATGTGCAACATGCTGCCACTTTGGATGAGCAAAGGTTAAGCTAAGCACCTAAGTATGGTTGCTCGATAGCTGTGCACAGTGAGGCCTCGCACCCTCAGCCAAGGTACTCAGCTGCTTCCTGAGGCGCAGCGCTCAGTCAGCTTTTCCGGATAGCCTCACCAATGAGCCGCACGAATCATGTATCGATGTGCTGGGTAGGCGTACGATGTCAGTATACTCAGTAGACATACGAAATCACGGAGCGTTTCTTTTCGCCTCTTGGGAGACAGGAAGTCGGATGGGGTTTGCCGCCAATTCGAAATGCCCGGCGGGCGGTCTTGCAGCCTTGCAAAACATGTGTTTCCCTTCAGAGGAAGCCTGCGATTGCTCTTTTGTTGGCATGTGATGGGTGGTGCATTTTCCCTTTAGTGCTGGACTTACTGATAATAACCAAGGTAAGGATGGAGTTCCGTCGCCCACCTTCACCTGCAAACTCCTCTCAAAGAAGTGGTTTGGCCAATCACACCTGAGGTACCTGCGATAGATTGGTCATTAGATGGTCAAGCAGACGAGGATCACTCCCGTTTTGGTCGCTGGTTGCCGTGTGAAATTGAGTTTGTTGCTTCTCCTGGTGTTACTTCACTGTGTAACGCTGGCGGCCGCTGGCGCCTTTTTCGCAGGATTCTGTTGACCGCTTGACGCCGGAGCAGAATGCCCTGATGAGCGGATTTGTCGCATTGATGACCGCTGCAGCCTGCAATTTGCGTACTGCTGCAGCCCCAGGGGCGGCCCTGGGAGCTAGGACTAGTCGCGATGCCCTTTGTTACTAGTAGCGGGGCCAGGAGATACTAGTAGCTTCTTTCTCCCAATAGCGATGCCAGGAGCCCCTAGTAGCGTCCTTGCTCCTAGTAACCAGTAGTACGGCCAGGAGATACTAGTAGCTTCTTGCTCCTAATAGTGATGCCCTTTGCTACTAGTTACTAGTAGCGTCCTTGCTCCTAGCTGATTTCTGTGGATTCCGTTGGCGTTCTGTTGCCCATGACTGTCAGGTGCCATACGCATCTCTCAGTTCCACACGATTGGCGCTGGCTGGGGCAGGCGGCTTTTTCCACTTCACAGCGTCACTTGGCGGCATTTTCGCCAATCTCCAGGTGCAATGCCCTTAAGGGAATGCAACAAGATCGAAAGGGCTTGAATCTTGAACAACAAAACAGGTATGTCAATGCCACCGGGCAAGTCGTTTTTGTAGGCAGTGAACTTTGCAATTGCCGCTGCCGCAGACCAGGTATCTTTGTACATTGTGTGCCTTTACGTCTGCCTCGAGCACGGTCAACGCCCCAGCCAACATCTGATTTATACATTGAATTTGATTGCTATGAAATGTCCCAGTGTACGTGCTGGCCTTTCTTGAGATTTGGCACAGGGGATGTCAGAATTTGTCATTGTGTGCTGCATGTGTTCCTGATACCACGATTTCCCTTAGTGGACTCTGAGCTCAGCTAAACAACCCGGCAACCACTTTCATCCTACTAAGCATGGATGCTTGTCCAGGAAGGAGAATGGTAAGATGGAGCTCTTCAACTTGTCATTTGACCCAGCACATGCCAAGGTGATCACTCCCTTGATGCAGCTATCAGCACTTTGGATGCTTCCTTTCTCCACTTCAGCCGCCTCACTGGGCTTTGCACCAGTGATACGCCCGCTCCACCTCGTGGCAGTGCCAGAGCTGCCATTGGCCCATGAACGCAATCCCTGAATGCCTTTTCTTGATAGTGGCCATGTGATTCCCACGGTGAGATCATAGCATATTCACCTGAGACGTCCTGCAATCCGGACTTGACAGAATGAACTGTCGCTAGGTTGAGGGGCTGCATTGTGAGGAAAACCGGGCAATCATCAGCAAAAACAATGGAACTTTCGGATTTTCTGTGTTTTTCCTCTCCCACCAACTCGAAAGAGCAAGGCATCGATCTATATAGTTAATGTTTTTCTTCGAGCAAGGGCAAAACCAGCCGGGGAACGGACGGCGTGGTCCAATGTGGTCCAACTGGGGACGGTTCCACGGGACCGACATGACCAATTCGCTCGCAACGGGCAAAAACGGTGAGCAACTGGTCCACTCACTTGGACGACCTGCAGGTGCTGCTGATTTGTGTTGGAGGCTTTTTGCCTGCAGCTGATGGCTGCATCTCTTCTGTTGCAACCGGGAAGTTCTGGCAACAAAAAGCTGTAAGAAGCTCGGCAACAGAGAATTCCGGGCTTGGAAGCCAAATGAATCAGGCTGATATTGACTGTGAGCAGGACTGCCTTTGAGATCTTTGAGGTGATGAAGAGGGCCAGTAAGAGGGCCACTGTTGATCTGACCAAGATGACCCATTTAAGAACTGCCGCCCTGCCCATCCCCCTCATCCAGCCTTAAAGGTTATAATGAAATCCAGCCTCAGGATTTGTGGTCTTGGGCGAGTTTCTCATTTGCTGCTACAACGTCATTTTGCATCAGGCGACTTTCGCTGAAAGCTTCTGCCTCAGCGGGGTTGGTTCACTCTCGGATGCTCCAACTGTTCCATGTGGCAAAGGGACATGGCCACACACTGCAAAAGCCCCTCTTCAAACCCAGGCAGTGATCCTGAGCTGGCTACGCATCCGCTCCAGTTCTTCCTAGCCAGTCGGGTTGCAAATGGATTGAGCAGACCTTAGCCGCAGCCAAGACAGAGAACATCCTGAAATTGTACATACACCCTGTGGAAAACTAACGACCCTGAGAATGGGACCTGGACACGTAAGGCTTCCATGTTCGTTTTCCACGGGGGTGCCCGTGGATCCTGCATCCTGAACAGCACGTAGACTGCAGTGAAAGAGGGTCCCAATCAGGCCTCATCCTCTCCGCCTCTCTCTGTTGAAAAGCCGCCAGTCTTTTTTCACTAGAAAGAAGAAGCTACTAGTCGGTAACAAGGGCATCGCTACTAGGAGCAAGAAGCTACGAACGTAGCTCCTGGCATTACAACTAGTAACAAGATGTAACAAGAAGAATTGTGTTTTTCCTTCAAAACCCGCCAGGACCTGTTTCGATTTTTTGGTCCTCCAAGGACCTGTGCCTTGCTGTTCTTGGCCATTCCATCTTTGCGCCGGCACCTGTGGGCTTTGCGGAAGGCACCCGTGGTTAAATGGTGGTGTTTGCATGGGTTCACACGAGGGTTGATAGGCAGGGGCAATGTTTGGCAACATTGGAAGAATTTGTAGCAGCTCACAGCATGTGGCTCCCGAACAGTGTTTGCATGTTCATGATCACCCGAGCAGGTGAAACGCCGCTTTTTTGCGACAGCTTTTCTGGGCGAATGCCTGTCAATGATGCTGGGTAGCAACTTAACATGCTACTGTATCGTATCAAGTGTGTGTTACAAGGAGGGGGCACCAAGTTGTTGGCACAGCAGTGGGGATCCTGAATGAAGATGAATGAAGCAGTTGTTGGTTGCCAAAGGTGGCAGGATCCCGGTCGAGCTGAGGACAGGAGTTTGCTTGGTGACCTTTTCATATTCCGGCTTTTACGAGCCATCAGTCGTCAATGCCGTCGAAGGCTGGATGTGCAGAAGCCAAACCCAAGGGCACTGACTGGTGGATTGGACATGATCGGAGACAATTTGAGACTTGCTTTCTTGTATGCTTGGTTTTGGTGTCCGGGCACATTGCGCATCATTGAGCATATTGAGCCGTTCAGTGCAATATATGGACCCTTGCCATACTAGTCTAAACGGCTGTATGCCTTTGCGTGCCATCCTTCGACACCGCAGCCAACGGAAACATCCTTCAGGCGGATTGCAACAGCTCTTCAACTTGATGTTTGCCACTTGCCTTAGTTGATAATGGTTGCAAGTTGCGACAAGTTTGGAGTTCTAATTACACGAACCAGGACTGTGATGGTGACACGGTGGCTGTAAGTACATCTCCATCTCAAAAAACACGGGATGAACCATGATTGGTCTTTGGATGTCCTCCTGAGGCTGTCATCTCCCATCGGCTACTTGGACTTGGACCTGGAGTGGAGCAGGACGGGAGTAAGGGCGCCGGACGAGACGTCTTGTTGGATGAAGCTTTGCTGCAGAGCTGTCGTAGATTGTCATAGCTTCTTTGGGATGCTGTCTGTAGACCCGTTGGGAATCAGATGGAAGAGATGCCAAGAAAGGGAAGAGATGCCGTCACTTTGCCACCGTTCATTTTCAGCTGACTGAGTCCTTTGGCACCAACACGGATCGTGCCATTTTGATCCATTTTGCTTCGATGTCACGGATCGTTTTGGAACTGGCTTTCAGTTTGCAATCACGTCCTTGGCAGGTGCCTGTGAAGTGCGTATCTTTGCTCCTAGTTTGCGCTGGCCTAGCGTTATCCACCACTTGATCGGCTTTGCACCTTGACATTTAATTGTCGCCATCTTTTGCGATGAGAGGTGCAGTGCAGATGTGGAATGCGAAGGCTCTTCGGTTTAGGCTTTTCATGTCATGTTCGATTGCAGAACGTCTCTATTTGGCAAGCAGAGGCACAACAAGAGCAAACCTCTTTGTGGCGCCGCTGTCAGAGAGCTTCTGAGGGGCATTAAAATCTATAAATTGGGGCACTTTTGATCCGAGCACAAGAAGCTTGCTGTTGAAGTTGAATCCTGTGTAAGGAACAGCAGTGGTATGGCAGGTAGACCCATGTAGACACTCACCCTCACCCCATTGGTTAGTTAGTTCTTGCCATTGGAACACACACCACGAAGAAGGATTCTGAAAAACTGGGATTTGACCGGGCAGTCTACGTAGCCAAGTGGTCAAGAGCAAGTAATGCTGGAGCAGGTTAGACAAAATGAGGTTCCATCAACAAGGGAAGCGCCAAAGGCCAAAGGTATTTGGTTCCAATCCAGACGTGGTAAACTGTGCATTTGTCAACCTGAGTCAGAGGAGAACAGCTTTGTGAAAGAACCAAAGGGCTGCAAAACTGTTGAACACGTTCCAAAACCATAGATTCACCAGGTTGATCAGACCTCGCTTCTCACTCTCATCCTTAGTGAGCCTTAGTGTGTAGTAGGATGAGAGTGCCACCAGTCCTTGCAAAGTAAACAGTTCAAAAAGATTGCATTCGCAAACCTGTGACTCCAAGGTCACAAGTGATGACACACAAATATTACATTATAATCTTTATACAGTACATTTATACAAACATTATTGGCTTATGCCATATGCGCATGTAATATACAGGTGACATGTTTGTTTGAACTTTGATATTTGTGCTTGCTGAGCTGCCTCTACACCATGCACTCGCTGCAATGTTGCAAAGATGCAATGGTGCCTGAGAGCGTGGTGGATTTTTGTTTTCGGGATCCTTTCAGCAAAGATGATTTGAAGAACCTAACAAAGAGCATTTCAGAGAAAGCTGTTTGATACAGGGCTATGACGATGCCACCACACGCAAATTCAGTGTTGTTCGTACTTGTCACTAATGCTGGATTTGTGCTTGGCAGAAGGGAACTTGAGGTTGGTGAATAGAGAAAGGCAGACAAGCCTGGAAGGAGACAAATCCCAGTGGCCAAGAAACTTGGCTGCCAAATCATCTCTGTAAAGTTTCAAGCTCACTGCCGGGGCTGCTAGCATCGCTGGACACATTTCATGTTTTGGCATGTTAGTAGGAGCAGATAGTGCTTGGAGCCGGTGTCTTCATCACTTCACTGCCCATGCCAGCAGTACTCCTTTGGATTGACCTTGTAAGCAGCACTCACTCCTCGCGAGCATCAAGACCCATATGAGGATCTTACAAAACCTATGCTGTGTGTTTTGCCCCCCTTATTTGTTTAGGATGAACGAGGGGGAAAGGGATGGAAGGGGCCATACTGATATCATACTGTTGAGTAGGATTCCACCTCGGATACTTGGTGCACTGCTTCCAACTTTTTGTACCTCCTTAGACTAGCCGACTAAGCTCGCTTGGCTTCCTGCCACGAATCTTGCATGGCTTTCCAGCGCGGATGGCCAAATCCAAGTTGGCATCATGGGCTCTGGAGGGGGTGCCTACGAGCAATCAGACAATACCTGACATGTCCTGTCCTTGGCCTGCATGTATCGGAAAACCGAGTTTGAGCAAAGAACTGGCAGCAGCATGAAATTAGCTGTATACTGAGCACATCGTGTCACGTTGCTGATTTTCCCAGCTGTTGCTGCTTATTTGAGTTGGTCTTTCCGGATGCGGGTGCTTTTGGTGTAACGGCCCCACCATAATTTTCCATTGACCTACGACCCCTAGGGTCAACTAGGCACCCTCTTTGGCCATCGGACCACGACTTCTGGGTCCGTACGCGTGAGCGTCGGCAGTGACCAAAGCTCCGCCCCATGCTACGCTGCTTGTCGCGTTTCGGACGCGCAGCGACTCAAAGCGGGATGTCAGGGAGTCCCTCACGTGTGCTAGGAGAGACTCTAGCTGCCATGAGGTCTTTTCAAACAACCCCCCCACTTGGGTCTCCCAAGTTTCTTTTCGATTTGGTTGCGTGTGAGTCTGCCACGTGAGGCCGGTCATGAGTCCATGTCCATTCCCGAAACTGGACTTCGGCTCAGCTCGACCGCAGTGTTTCTCGGAGCGTGGGAAAAGGGGGATGGTATTGGTATGCCTGGTGAGCTCCTGTCATGGCAGTTTTCCAAACAGTACAAGAGCTCCCAGTGGCCCAATATGGCCGAATCAGCGGAGTCTGCGGCTCCAAGCGCCAACATCCGAACGCGAACGTATGGTGTTGGCGAAGCAATCCTGTGTACAGTGTACAGTATACTGCACACATTTGCATACCTTGGTTCATACTTGGCTGAATTACTGCGAGCAAGGACATGTGGATCTCGCAAGGATGTTGGCAACCGCAGCTGCTTGCTTTGGGCGTCAGCACCGAAGTTAGCCAAACAATTGGCTTGGTGATCCCCAGTTTGGCGCTTAGAAGCGCGATCCAAAAGAGCAGCTCTCTTTAATTTTTGGCCGGTGGACCCACCTCCTTAATTAAGTAGGCGCCTACTTCATTAAGTAAGCTACTGGACGCTCCTAGCTACTGGGCGCAGGATAGCTCACGCTTCTTCAAGGAAGCTCCCGCCGCCTGAGGGCAGGGGGGATCAGCTGCCGCTTCCTTGAAGAAGCGCTCGCACTATTCATTTGGTGCCTAGATTTTTAGGGAAACTTAGCTACTGTTACTGAGAATGCATTTTGTCCGGATTGGTAAGGCATCACCTGCCACCGTCGCAACTCCCAACATTCGGAGTGAATCGGAGTGATATGCTGGCTCATTTGCAAAGTATGTGGGGCCTGGGTACGCTCAGATCCTGGCAAAAACCGATTCTGCCGACCGTCAAACACCCCAGACCGACTTCTTCGGATTCCAGACCGCGCGCCGCGCGCATCGCAGGCTCGCTGCGGTCCAGGCTCGGAACTTCAGCCCCGCAAGCTGGCGCATGCCATGAATGTGGAGCCAGCCTTGAAAGTGAAGGAGCCGTGCCCTTCCAGTTTAGGTAGTAGCAAGAAGAGGAGGGAGGATGGAGTAGAACGGTTTTCTGGCTGACTTAGGAGTTTGGAAGTGTTGGACCTAGACAAAACGTGTGCAAGAAGCACGAAGTTGCGAGAAGCAGAGAGGATGCTAGCAATGAGCGTCTCCTTCAACTGCGGCTGGACGTCACAAGTGTCGGGTTTCCAAGGTCTCCAGAGTTGTGTGTTGGAGTGTTGGAAGGGGCCCACCCGTGCTGCGAAAGCCTTGTTTGCATCCTTCGGAATGCTTGAACACCAGTTGGGCAGAGAAGTTCAATGTTTGATGTTGGATGCCCAAGATTCAAGAAAGAAAGAAATGCAAATACCAACAGCAAGCATGTCCTCCTTATTGACGGTCAATTGGACCACCGGGTTTTCGGTCAGGCATCAGGTTCTGTTACTAGCAGGTTCAATGGACGGTTTGCGGGTTCCATTCATCAAAGGCTTTCATGATGCTCCCAGATTCCCAGCCTGGGGGCCCACAGATGCTCCTGGTCGGCATGCCGACCGGTACCGCTGTGGGTTCACACATGTCCCAGAGTCGTTATATCTTAGGCTGAGAAGGGAGAAAGAGAGAGAGAGAGAGAGCAACAAAATTACCCGGAAGCAAAGAATTCAAAAAAACATATTTATAGTTTATAACTACTGCTAGTTTCTTTGCTTCGCGAAACATCATGCATTGTATTAGTTTTTTTCCCAGAGATGTGTTGACCTGACGAGCCAACAGTGCCACACCTTCCCGAGATGGGCTCTTTTGTTGAGCTTCAAAACGCTTTGCGTCGATGGCCAGGCCGTGGCGTGTTTTGTTTTAACATTTGCAGATCTGATGTCGTGATCAAGCTGATATCTGAAAGTACTCGCAGTAGTGGTTGCACATCATTGAGGCAATTAGCCAGAATCAGTCTAGGACAAGTGCCAGTGTATGTGCAAAGTCTTTCACGAATCAGCAAGTGAAGTTGCAAGAACAGAGGCACAGCATGTGCCTTGGCAGTTGGGAACTCAACGGCCACGCTGCAGTTCAAGAAAGGGCCCCTTTTGTTTTGCCTTGCATTTTGTGGTCTTCTCGCTGCTTTAAACAGTCAGACGACGGTCGCTCGGTCATGTCTTCGTTATCCTTCGGCCTGTTTGGAAAGGCGCAGGTTTGCAGGTGACAGGAACGACCAGGAGACGGGTGTGGCAGGAAGGTCGTGGCATTTCCATTTTGAGTTTGGGCATGGAAATGGTCACTTCAGAGCCTCTAAGGCTGTGGGGCTTGCTGGTATTGGTCGGAACGTGCAGTTGGTAGCGGCGTACCGCGAGGTGCAGCCTTCCGAGCGATAGTCAAGGTGGAACACATGCCTTCCGAGCCTGACTCTTGGGCATTGGATTCTTGTGGTCATTCGCCTACCAACCGACCGTGCCTTCCGACCGTTCCTTCCGTCTCTTGATTGGAGCGCACCTTCCCTTCAATCCCTTTCCCCCTTGCCAGGCGTATGGGACAAAGGATGCCCTCGTCGCGCGCACGCGGCCCAAGTCCAACGGCTAGGGCCTGAGAAAGGCTGTGTATTGAGCTGGGGTTTCATAGATGGTTCCAGATATGGACTGTCATCATTTCTTAGGAGCGTTTTTTCAGTGTTTTTCATGACTTGACCCTGCGATCAATCAGCTTCAAGTTCAGGAGGCGTCGGACCTTTGCACACGTGCAGGGCTGAGCAGAACGATGGGAGTGATCGCGGGATGACCTTGTTCCCGTTGATTTGGGTTGCCTCACTTTGGCGATGCTTATGCATCCACAAACAATGAGTCATAAGTTTAGATAAGTTTTACAGAGTTTTAATATTACAAATATGAGGTGAACAGGAGATGTGGCTCCCCGTGTGCAAAGACTAACAAGACAAGCAATACCGAAGTGAGTGCTGGGCTTGATCCTACGGAAGCTCGGAATCACTTCAGCCTCAGAGAGAGGAGGTTCCTCCTTTCCAACAGCCAATAGCAGGTTTAAAGCGGAGACCTTCACTACAGCAGTCTTAATAGAGCCCGTCATCGTGCGGATCTGAGAGATGGAAGCTGGAATAGAGGAACGTATGCTGGATGATTTCAGTTGGAGCCATGGGCCATAATGGTAGATCTGCGGTTCCTCTTGTCATATTTCACGAAGGAACACTTGCTGAAATATCAGCCGGAGCCCAGCGTCATGCTGGCCTGGGGTCCCAGCTGCAAGTAGTGGAGAACGACTCCGAGAATGGACACTCCACGTTGATTCCAGAGATCATTCGACCTCAGGAGCTCCAAGTTCCAGAAGAGCAAGGGGCCCCCAGTGTGATCAGGGAGATAAAGCGGAGCAACTCAGAAGTTAAGTGGCTCGATGATTGAACTGTCTGAGTCAGAGCTCATGAAGTCGGTCCAATGCAGAGATCACACGTTGACCGATGGAGATCACTGAGATCCGTTGATTTTGGGAGCTCCGCTTTCGAGTCGGAGGCTTCGGCCAAGGCCTCAGTGGGCACCAAGAGATTCTTGGATTGGTTGTGGCTTAGGTCCTACCAGTAGCTTACTTTTTCAATGTATTATGTCCTCCCATTCTGCCCCAAAGACTCTTGTGGAAAGCACGGCGAACAAATTCTGACCTCAGTTTTGTGCGATCTGGCATGGCCATTGGTGCTTTCATGTACCTTTAGCAGGCCTTTAGCATTGTAGTTAGAACATGTTATATAAAACTTCTTGACCGGGGAGGACTTGTGATCCTTGGCCATTTGGGTGCACTGGGTAGCCAAAGGTAGCCCTCGCAGAGCGCTTCTGCGGGGTTCTAGCGGGACTGGCACCTGCAAGCACTGACTGCGGAGCCACAGGCTGGATCTCGTCATTTTGTGACCTCAACAAGAAAGGGTGGCGGTTTGTGTTAGGATATGGTGTCAATTTAGGATATGGTTACGGTTCAATTGATTTCACTTTGTTGCAGCATCAACTGGTGCGGACATACCTACTGGATACTAAGACAGGGTACGTGTAAACATGCAGAGGTGAAGCACCATACTGGTTCGTGAGCCGCGTGGGCTTTTCTTCAAGAAGTACTTTTTCAATAATGTCAATTAGGCTGTTTGCGCAGCAGGTTCCTTTCTCCAGAGAGCCACAGAATAGGGTGCACAATGGTGCACACATAAATTACTATTTAGTTGCTACTCCCACACAACTGATAAAGGAAGATAACAGAATGTGAATGAACACCTTCTTGTTCCTTGCCCGGAGGAATCCAGACACATGCCTTGCTATTGTGCTCAAATCCACATAACCTGTCGGACATTGAACTTGGAATGTATATATTTACACGTTACCCGCTGAGCAGACCCGCCTTGTTGCCGAAAATGGTCTTCCAGCGGCCTGTATTCCACTTCCATCCACTTCCTATATTTTTTGTTTCGGGAATGTGTGCAATAAACTCATCATACTTCATCGACTGTGTGTTCTTCACCTTTGTCATGATTTTGGCTGGCATCATCTTATTTTTGTTTGCTCCCGGCGTGAACCATTTGCGGGAGGAAACGCTGCAAACACTGTTCCCTCTGAACAAGAAAGCGATAAACGAGGCCCAGGTCTTAACAGTACTGAGAAGAACAGTTGGGGTGGGAACATGGCCCATTGGAGGTCACAAATGATGTTCTCCCACCATAAAGGCTATAACATCCGTGTTTCCTAATCATAATACATGTGCCGTGGCTTTCGAGATTACGTGACAGCCGTGACAGCTTCTTGCCTTTTGGCCAAAGAGCTTATGTGCCGGCATCAAAAAGCTCCAACCTTAGTTCCTTTCAGCAGCGGACGAACACTGGGGTGGCCGTGGATGGACGGCCAGTTTGTGCTTCACTTCACTGGGCAGTCATGAATTTGTTGGCTTGGCAGTCTGGTGACAAAGTCACATTCGATAGATCTGGCATTGAAAATTACTGTAGGTGGCTGACATGCAGATTGCAGGCTGCAAAGTGCTGCATCCTCAGCAAGAGTTTGCAATCAGGGTCAGGTGAGCTTGCTCATATATAAATTAAAGGAATGGTTTTCCATTGTGTGAATGGACCTTTTTACACATCTTTCTTTACACTGTTACATCAGGTTACTGTGAAGCTTTGGAAACTTTGCCCGCAGCATGTGGGCTCGCTGCATTGATTGCGGCCGTGCCAGACCCTATATAGATATATGATATATGTATACAGTACAGCCTTGACACGAAGAGCACCAATCAGCCTCAATTCACTTCGGACAATCGGAGGTTGCTAGAAAAAGTCGCTTTGGCTTTGTCGTTATATATATATATGTGTATAGTTGTATAGTTTTCTTCTAAGCAGCTGATAGATTAAGTCAAGAGGTTTGGGCGGTACGCTCAACAGAACCAGACGAGTGCACTTCTTCCAATGCCTGTGAACACACATCCCGCCATGCTGGGCATTGTCACACCAGAGGAGGGCGACCCAAAGGGAGGTCTGGGCCTAGCACTTTGTACTTGTGCCATTTTGTGCCTTAGGCACGGATGATGTGATAGAATCTATATAATAAAATCTAAGTATAACCGATATTACTGTGGCAAGTAGCAAAATTGTTTAAACAAATTGGCAGCTGTCCCAATCCTGATCCCCTTTGGTTAACGCGGTTTACAAGTTTCTAGGCCCAGGCAGAAGCGGTTCTCAACACTCGTTGTTTTTGAGGTGGTCAGCCCGATGAGGAGGAAGCGGAGGCAATACGCAATATCCAGAGCACTCAGATGTTTGGATGAGATTGAATGGGCATGTGCACCCTTTGGATCCATTCGATTGGCCATTAGTGATGTTAATGAACACGATTGATTCGTTTGCGCATGTTTCAAAAAGCGGATGGGGGCCACCTGTGCATTGCCAGCGCAGTCAGAGGCCAGCAGCTTACATTTGCAGATGCAGATGCTTCCTGTAAGCGTATACTTTTTGATTCAACCAGTTTCAGCACCTTTCGGTGCACCAGCGCAACACACGTCGCTCTAATGGCACCTGGCAGCGTCGCAACACTGCGTCGTCACCCGTGCACGTGGAGCCACCGGCGGTGTCGTTTCGCGGAGCCACCAAAGGAGTGGCCGATCCGTTTTGGGTGAGTCGTGTCCCTCCTTGCGTCAGCTGTTCTGAATGGCACACATGGCCGCAGTGGTTTCAGAGTGACTCAACCCAACAGAAGGCCCTAGATCCATCCTAATTACATGCAATAGAAACCACCTGTTGAGGAGTCATCTACTTTGAGACCACCATACTTAGACAGATTTTGTGAGCTGTGAAACCTGTGAATTCCGACCTGACTGGGTCGAGGCCGAGCTGCTTCGTCAAGCTAAAGTTGTTCCATTGACCGCTACGGAGGATGCACCAGTCGCACGGCATCAGCATGCATCAGCAAGGTTTCAGAGTGGGCTTTGAGTAGAAATGCACAGAGACCCAGCTGTTGCCTTCATAGATTCATAGGTCTTCATAGGAAGAAACACTTTGATAGGAAACACCAAAGAACCCCAAGGCATGCATTAGGAATGTTCAGATTCTCCTCGGACCAATCACCCCCAATCTACCTTGGTCACTTTTCACCCCTAAAAGTCGAGCCATCCCCATGATAAGCTACAAACAATATCAATAGGTTCAATTGAGCTTTGAACAATTTTTGAAATGACCTTGGGAAGCCATACTGAGCACCGGACCAAACAGCTTGTTGACCTGAGGGTAAACTTTTATCCGGTGATTTCATTGACTACAGAATGGTAGATCATGTATGTATGATACGGTATCCATATGGATTTGATACATTTGTGTGTGTGCAATGTACATGTAGTGTAACATACATTCATACATGATCATATGGATTCATATTGAACATAGACCTGTAGGACTCCGTAGGGCCCATACGCGTGTATCCATGCAAGAGAATGCTATAATGGATTATAATGCTATACCGTGCCTTCTCCACCTGTCATTTCAGGCAAAGATTGGCCGCATTCGCATTCTGCGCTGCTTTGGCGGAACTGTGTATGTTGGACCGCACTGGTGCTGTTCTTTTGTAATGCTATCTGTGACTTGGCTTCGTGATGAGATTGTAGCTTGCTGTGACCGTGAGACGAAGGTAGCCTCCATTGAGTCCTGCTTTGCTCGGGCCGTGTGATTTGGTAAAGAGCGTTGGTGAAGAGCGTTTGTTCCTAGTAGCTTCTTGTTGCTAGTAGCGATGGTTTCCAGTACTGCCAGGAGCTACTAGTAGCTTCTTGCCCCTAGTAGCGATGCCCTTTGCTACTAGTAGCGTCCTTGTTACTAGTTGAAGGGTTTGGTTAGTTCGCGAAATGTTTGAGCTTTGTGCCTTTGTCCTGCCATGAGGTAATTTTGGCAATTGGTTTCTCCTTCATGTCGCACTTTGGCTTCTTTCAAGATACGACAGAAGAGACACCTGAAGAGAGCCAAGAGATGCATTCATACTGAGCCAAGAGAGCGTTGATCAAGAGGGTCGCCACAAATTACTAGTTGATCAACTTCCCCCCTCCCCGAGCCAAGATTGAGGTACAACTCGGGCCGGGGCAGTTGGCCGGCATCCCAGTTGTTGAGTCATTTCGAAGGCTGGTCACGAAGGAAGCAACATGCAGCATCTGGTCGCGGTGAATCTCTTTGGATATCCACCTTTGGTCGACTCTAACGTTCTTGGGTTGACTCATTGACTTCATTTTCACGGCTGCACCATGCATCCGAGATCAGCCAAGGCTCCATTCATTCTTGGGTTTGCTGGCGACTCTGGGTTCTGCGGTGTCCTTCTTGGCTTGTGCCACAGCAAATCCTGGAATTCTGCAGCCAACTCCTGGGAGCGCTGGAGGCCAAGGGCGGCCATCTCGTTCTGCATCAGCAAGTTGCGGCACGATCTTGTCAGTCCACCCGCAGGTCCTGGGAAGCCTGAACAATACTTTCCCTCCAACGGCAAGAGGCATTGCACTGTGCCTTCGGCTTGACCTGTTGGGTGCTTTGCGACGCGCTTCGCTGCTGAGTGCATGTCGTCGAAAGTGAACCAGTCTTGAACCAGTCTTCAAGCGCAAGCTATGGGCTTATGGCATTCTGATCATATCCACACCTGCCATAAGAGTTTACGAACTTGCATGTACCATGACAAATTAAGCATTGGCACAGTGCGGCACATCGATAGATAAAGTACAGTCATCACCACCAGAACCGATTTGCTGTGATCAATCAAGGCCTGCGATATCAAACAGCCCGTGGGTGTTCTGCACTGCGACTACTGCCACGTTTGCAGCTGGGCTGCCACACTTACGTTTGCTTCAATGGGTGTTCCAAAGGGCCCAACATGTTATGTTTTGGTTCAAGATCAAAGCCAGACAATCCCACAGAATCTCCGCAAATCTGTCCTCGAGATGCAAGACTCAGGCATCCAAGGGTGGGACCATCATTGCCCGTGGATGAACAAATGCATCGGTTCCGCGGCACAGACCGTTGTGATTCTTTGTGATGCAACACACTGAACAGAGAGACTATCACTGATTTCGAAAGTACTTCTCAGCCGCTCACCAGCTAAGGTGAGAACAACCTTCTATTTTTCAACTCATTTCTCGCCATCAGCCTGAGCTCTTTGGGTTACATCGTCTTGGCAACCATGATCGGATCTTGATCTTCGGCCCAAAGGGGCCGGATGAGACAGGTGAAGATGTGGGTGAGGAGGTGAAACGATCGGGTTGAAGAGCCCTTCAGAGCGCGGAAAGCAGATGGTCAAAGGATCATGTCCGCAGCTGACCCTTCCACGCACAATAAACGCAGAATGTGCATCTCTGCGCACCAGCCAGTGTAATGCAGTCAGATCACGCTTGGCAGGAAAATTGCGTGCATGTTTGGATAAAGTGTGACAATTGTTAGTTGGCTTGTTGCCGTGTTTCTGGCATGTTGCAACTGGAATATTTAAGGTCAAGGAGCTTGTTTTGCTACTTCACTTTTCATCAGGGTCCAGAACCATCCCGAAAAGCATCCAGCCCCATAAGTCAGTGGTTTGCATGCAAACGGGTTGCCCCAGGCTTAGCAATTGGCTGGGTCATTGTCAACAGCGCCTCTCCACCCAACAGTGCTGTGCCACGATGGAGGCCGACAAGGTTTGACCAAAAGTGATAGACGGCACCCTCCATCTTCCGTATGGACAATTTACATAATGATAGTCATAATATGTCATAATGATTGTAATATATGTAATATATGTTGCACATATGGAATGCATTGTATGTAATGTAACTTAATGGAATGTCATAGTAATATGTATGTCATCTAATGTGATGTAATGTAGTGCATTAACTGGACTGATATGGAATTGATCATGTGTTGTATGTCTTGTATGTGTATATATATATACACTGTATATTACTTGTTTTTTCTCCCTACAGAGTGCTACAGAGCTCACAAGACCCCCTAGATTCTTCTGATCACGGCTCTGTGCTTCTAGGCCATTACCGCGGCCATGCGTCGGCACAGCAGCAATGCTGCAGTGCAAGAGGCCTGCGGGCCCATGTCGATGCTTGCTTGGATTTCTTATTTCAAGTGTATTGGTCATGAATTATTTTGTGATTCTGAGGTCGTCAGGTCATGAAAAGGCAAGACGCGGCCTTTTTTCATGTTTTATTCCTTCCAGGATCATAAAACATTCGATTTTATGTAGACATAGTTTCGTGTTGATGCCCTCTTGGTTGGTATCCGCACCATTTGCCTCTCCTAGGCAGGAGCTGCTGCAATGGGCAGTGCAGCAGGTTGGCCAGAACTGCAAGCAGTTTGGGTGCCATGAGACGACGCTCGAAGTTGGCACCACCAGCACGAGAGCGACCCAGAGCACGCTCTACCAAAAAGATCTAATTAAGAAGAGAATGCAGACGATTCCAGGTGAAGGAGAAGAACATGTAAATGGTTACATATGCAGTGTGTATATATATATATATATGCATGTATGTATTATATATGTATGCCTGGTCCATATCGGTGATATCTACCAAAAGTTCATCAAGTTTGATCTCTTTATGTTTGCCGCTTTCAGCACGTTGGGTCAGCCCATTTGTCGCCTCGAAGCGTTTAAGGCCGCAGCCACCAATGGAGCAGTGGAGGAAGTCGTGGGTGTCATCACCTCAGATGTGGTTTGGCCCATCTGTCATCGGAGGTTCGATCACGATGAAGCGGAGCTTGGAGCATGGTGTCTTACTATGTTATACTTAAAGATAAGGATGTAGGGATTCTGAGCAAATTACTACCAAATCTGTGAGAAAGGCACTACTGATTTGGGCATGCGGAGAAACTGGCACGATTGCTCAGGCCATGCGGAAGTTTGAAGGTGATTCCGAGTTTGGGCCCCGAGACTGCGAGAGACTGGCTCGCCGATTTACTGGGAACGCCTGGTTCGCCTCTCCATGGCTCAGAGATGGAGTCCGATGTTTGCTTCAGAGAATCCGTGACATGTTTATTTTGTGGGAATTGGCACCCAATCAAACCATCCATCGGGATGTTCCACGAGTGAGTTCCAAGTGCTAAGATGTGCTGATGTTCGTTGTTTTTTTCGCGATACCCATCCAAGATGTTTGAGGCTCTTGGCCTCCGGGTGTGGTGCCTTGACAGGGCTTTCGGCCAACCATCCACTCAACCAGTCGCGCACTCAGTAAGGCAACTCGTCACCGCATGCCGTGGTCATTGCATGTCATTGCTATCGTCAGAGAGAGCGAGTTGAGTTGAGTTGAAATGAGTGAGTGAGTTGAGTTGAGTTGAGTTGAGTTGAGTGATTGAGTGAGTGAGTCAGTCAGTCAGTCAGTGAGTGTGTTTGTGTGAGTGTCGGCATGGTGCTTTCTGGAGGTCCTCAATCATGGCCTGTCGAAGCATTGAGGTGGGGTGCCCAAACTAATTTGTTGGAGTTTTCCTGAGAGGGGAGTTTCCAAGGTACAAGTAGCAGAGGCTGTTGAATTTCAGAGAAATAGTGTGCCTCCACCACCTTGCAGTGACGTGGAATTGCCTGGACATTGGACATCCGTTTGCGGTGTAGAGTCGCTTTCCTTGGTAGCTCAGTGAAGGAACAAGTCAACACGAGTTGCTCGAGTTATTTCAGGTTATTGTCGATGCTATGAGGAGATTTTCCAAGCATGCTTGGCTCTGAGCCCCATAGATGAGCATATTGTGTCGCTCCTCCAATCTACGACGTTCAGGCTGTTGGCACCTGTCACGGTTGTAGTAGCGTCCTTGCTCCTAGTAGTGATGCCAGGAGCCCCTAGTAGCTTCTTGTTCCTAGTAGTAAGGCCAGGAGCCCCTAGTAGCGTCCTTGCCCCTAGTAGCATAAGAACAATATTAAGAACCACGTCGAAGTGTATGGGTTCACATCAGAAGGCTACGACGTTCGGTGATCCAAACCTTCGCGCCGCCGTTTTATTGAACATGCAGATGTGTTTTCTTCTCGAGTCGGGCCTGTCGGGGTTCGACGCCAAGGCACGGCTCCAAACCATGGGCTTTGGCGCCTTGGGGAATCTCGCCGCCAACCACCCCAACAACCAGGTCGAGAGCTGTGCTCAAGCTTGCCCGAAACATCACCAAGAGAACCCGTCTAATCAGAAATGAGCAAACGTGAGAAGTCACTAAACCCTCAATTCAGCAGGCAACATAAGGTCGATAGCTCCGTTAACTCCCTTCGGGTTCGTTCTTAGAGTGTCTGACTGCGCGAGGCAGCGATTGCGCAGGCAAGCGGCTTGCAGCGAGTGACGCCCTCAGTGATGCAGACCCAAATATGTTGTGTTGGTGGTTCTTCATGGTGATTTGTTCATGTTTGTAAGTCTTGAGTTGCTATTTATTGCACACACGCACCATGCGTCGGACTTACACCGGCAAGGCGGCCAAGGGCCCTTTGAAAGGCCCACCCGGGGTTCAAACTCACCAACCTGTCTCAAAGGTCAAAGCTGCCTTGCAGCAGCACCAGAACCGACCCGCGGCTCCTTGGCCAAGTTGATCGCAGTCCCAAGAATGCTCTCCGATGTGAATAACTAACCTTTTGGGCCGAGCTTCTGTGGTTGGTATTCCCGTGTATGGCAACATACAGAAATGGCTTACATAAAAGGAATTCTTTCGCTTTGTCATCAGCTTGCTTCGTCCAGGTTTTGACCGCAGCCCTTGCAGCCAAAGTCTCAGTCACTCAATCACTACAATCAGAACGCACGATCAAGGTCTCCGGCTTGTGAATCTCAATTTGAGTGTGTGCAGGTGTAACATCGTGTCACTAGTGTGCAGGCTCTATGGAATCTAGGATTCCGACTGCAAACATGCAAGAGGTAGGTCTTGGAGAGGCAGGCGTTTCCCTTCACATTGTAATCATACCTAGCACCACTAAGGCTTTGTGGTGCTTGCTCAGGCCCGGTCCGTGACCTGTGATACAATTTAAAGCATTTGCCCTTACTATCCCTTTTCTTCTAAAACCCCTTCCCTCCCAGACTGCAATACCAGGGGCAACTGCCGGGAAATGGGACATGCAAACTGTCCAATGAGGAATCACAGCGCCAACACGGAGGCTGCTGCAGAACTTAGCAGCTTGGATCCGACTGCGGCGGTGCTAGATTCTAGCCAGCCTTTCTGAAGCATCAACAGTCAGATCTCAATCGTCAGCATGGCCTTGTTCTTGAGAGCATGATTCCAAAGCCCGAGGTTTGGCAGAGATGGCCATGCTTGCATTGAGGCATTGGTTTCATATGACTTGGCTTGGACTGTAGATGAGGAGTGTGCCGAAGGGTACTGGTAGAAAGCAAACATTTGACATGTGCTTTCTCCATTTTGACACTATCCCGCTTTGCTTCTTTTGGCGCTGGCTAGCTAGCTCCAAGGATTTACAACGAACATGTGCAGGAAGAGCAGGTCGAGTACACACATTTTTGCTCAGCCACGCCATGCCAATAGCCGTCCCTTTTCACCCTTCCTTGCATGCGCGCAAAGAGTTTTCGTGACGTTCCACAATCAATGTTCGCTTGAGAGGCGCCACCCGGATGATCGAAGACTCAAAGCAGTGGCGTACCTTGGAAGCATCGGTGCAAAAGCACGTCGTATCAGACGTTTTCAGATGAACATGCACATAGTCTGAAGTCTTGAGGACCATAAAACATCATGAGAGGTCTGGAGCTCTGCAATGCCTGGTCCCGGGTTTATCTGAAGTGGGTGGCCTCAGCTGCACTGGTTTGATTCGATTCCCCATGGTTCTCATGTTTTTGCGCAGATATACAGTAGATTATATAGGAGCTGTGTGCAGATCTTACCGCATCGCAAGACATGTCAGCTCAGGCCCTTGCTGTCCAGGCCTCTTGTTTCATTTTTACACCGGGGGGCGGGAGGCCGCTAGTAGAGGTGAGGTAGGTAGCTATAGGTAGCTAGTTCCTACAAGTAAGCTTCTAGGTACAGGACGCCACCTTGGACGCAGGATAGCTCACGCTTCTTCAAGGAAGCTCCTAGAAGAAGCGCTCGCACTGAGGATTTGGTTTCTAGTTTTTTAGGGAAACTTAACCTGGCAGCCTGCAGCCTGCGGCGAACATTTTTGACAGCTTTGAAGCTGATGATTGGTCAGTGGTAGCACACACCAAGAATATCAAACAAGAGTTCAATTGCATACATCAGACATTCACAGAGCTGACCAGTTCCGTTTAGAACATCACCCTCAATGGCAAATCACACCTGATTTTTGCTACAGTGACGGTACCAGTCCAATACACCCTGCCACCTCGCTTGCACAGCAGTCTAAACCCAAGGCTTTGGGCCCATCAATGCGATGTTCTTGTTTCCGGAAGATAGGACACATAGGTGCCTTTTATAATAGGCACCTTTTGATGATGTGATCCAGGTTGTTCAAATTGATTGAGATCGTTGTCTCTGGATCGGGTCTTTTGACTGCAGGCAGGGAGCTCACCGCCACTTGGACCGAAGATTGGGCGGTGGGTTGACAGTGCTATCAGCGTTGAGGCCGTAAGCAGCAACAAGGATCAAAACTTCAACTTAGGTCGACAGCGATGAACTTGGTCAACCCGCACACCCGCATTTGCAGATTGCGAACCCACACACCCGATTCATCACGAACTTCTTTTTAGTAACAAAGGGCATCGCTACAGGTAACAAGGGCATTACTACTAGTAGCAAGAAGCTACGAAGGTAGCGATGCCCTTTGTTACTAGTAGCGATGCCCAATCACGCCTCCGCGTGCCTTCAAAGACCAGCAGGTCTGGACCTGCCGCGAGACGTCAGGTCAACGGTCCGCACTGCCACGTGAAGAAGTCGTCCAGAGGCCTTCTGGGTTGCGGGAAGCCTTCCCAACTGCCGAGGAACGTGGGCGATGGCAATGTTCAAAGGGCATTGGGGCCCTTCAACATAGGTTGGATGGTCTGGTCCGTTGCCAATGGTATCCAAGCATGCATGAACTCAACAAGAAAGAACATCCACCCAAAGATCAATGATCGTGAATCATGAGTGACCATATGCGTCAACGATGCCGTAGTTGGGTGTTTTCTAAAGAAAAGTGCGCAGCACGAAGAAACAAACACTACCAGGGATGTGAGCCTACAATCCTACAAAGGTCTTTCAATATCCGATCGTGCGCTCCGATTGGCACCCGCATCTCTTGCCTTATCGGCGGGCTATCCAACAGAAGCTTGCTATCTAACAATGCGCATGCAATGTGCCGTAGTTACTGTACAAATCTCATTGTGACATGATGGAGTGTGTATGTTTTTTGGCCTTCAGCCTGAAGGACTTCTTGACTTCGAAGATGGGCAGCTGGATTGAATCCGACCCTGTCTGCCAAATTCATGGTGTTTATTTGATTTTTCCCTCAGTGAGACTGAAGTCCTGAGCCCACAAGGGCCTCAAAGCACGCAGGAACATCATGCTATTCAACATGCTGGATCAAAGATCGAGACAGTCAAGCAGTAGAAACAGGGGTTGGATCCTCGTTTTGTTCTCAATTGAGAGCTTCTTCAAGGTGGAGCATGATGCAGCATGGAAAGCCCTTGCTTGCAGGACATAATTCCTCAAACGTCCTAATGATATTAAGTTCCTACTTGCTCCGTGGGGACTCTGCAGAATGCAGAGGCCTGCTGTCACATGCATGGAATCCTTCTCGCATTTTAGCTCGAACATCTCATACAGTTGATGGAGGACATCTGGAATCACTTCTGAAAAGAGCTAGCTTGGACTCCATCGCTGCGTTTGATTCCTCCATCACCCCTTGGCCGAAGAGATAAGAGTTGGGGCCGGCCATGGGGCGTGTGAGAGTTGCATGAATCAATATTTGGCCAGCGCCCCTGGTGTTCCAAAACGCCATGTGAAGAGCAGAGGTTGAGAGACTTCAAGGACCTTGCCTTAGCATAATGGCTTAGCATCGAGACTTCTAGCTGCAGAGCTCGCTGGGATATTGGAGCTTTTGGAAACAGGATGATGATGCTTTGTGTGGCTTAAGTGGCCATGACCAAGCAAAACAACCTTATAGAGTTGCTGAAGCCAGAGATAGCCAGAGCACACTGACGGGAATTCAAGCAACAGGGGAGAGCCCAACATTCAGGAAGTATGAGCCGATGCTCCTGAGCCAGATCAACTTCTTTTGATAAATTCCGGCACGCGAGCAAGAAAAAGCTGCTTCCTACTCAGATACAGTAGATAATTATCCAGTCAAAGAGACATTCAACTGACCATGAGCAAGACATAGCAAGACTCTGGCAGCGAGCCATGACAGTTTCTTCGCCAGGATGCTCAAGGCCACGTAGCTTCTTGCAATTGGGACTTCCAGGATGGTTTTAGCATGCCAGTCGTTTTTTTCGGCAGTCTCGGGCGCCGTTTGAGCCCTCCGGAGTGGGAGAAAGAGAAAAGATGAGAGACGAGATGCCAGAGCAGGGTGAAAGGTGGTGAAAGGAGGAGCTTCCGACAGATCAGAAAGATCGGTCTTCTGAGGCTGATGGAGATCAGAACACGCTTGGTGGTCCTCGCATGTTGTGTAGCAAAGGGGCGAGTTGTTAGTGGTCAAACATTTAACTAATGAATCTAAAGCCAACCTGACACAAGGTACAGTGCATAATTAATGTCGGTTCTTGATTGCTCAACTTGTCCGACCGGGACCGTTTGTCAATTTTGTGAATGGACTTTTTGGTGTGCAGAACTGGTTTAGCCAGGATGAGATAGCAAATGAACATTGCAAGGCACGTTGGAATAAGGGGCCTGCTACTCAGAGGATCAACATTATATTGATTTTTGAAAGCAGCGCTGGTGTTAGTTGTCACCCAAAGCTTGCCCGAGGCCCCTTCCAGATTTATCGCAGTTGCCCAATTTGCTGAAAGAGGCAAGATGCACTGTAATCCACAAAATTTAAGCAATTAGTCATGTTCTGTGACTGTGGTGATTGTTCGCTTCAGGTTTACCATGTTTAACATTTTAATCTTATATATATATATAGTTGTGTTAAGCTTGGGCAGGCTGTGGTGCACAAACATCATCACAACTCCCATGTTCTCAGGAACGTACCAACGCAATATCCGCAGGGCGGGGTTGTCACATACTCTGGAAGCAGTGAATGAGAGCGGAAAAAAAATAAGAGCGGCAGTGAGTAGCACTGAGTGGGATGTTTATGACGTGTATATATATATATATATGTGTGTGTCATATATCAATTTGGTTCCCCCCTTCCCCGCATGAGGAGATCGTGAGTCAAAAATAGTCTAAATGTTAAAATGTTGGCTCATCTCATCCAAATGTCCTATATACACAATCCAAGAGTCTAAGATGCTGCAAAAGAGATGATTATTGGGTAAACATTAATCATTTAAAGATATTAAAGAAGAATCATGAAGAGACAACGACGCTGGTGGACTTGGGCCCCTGTTTGGACTTCTATCGCGGGGGTTGCCTCAGTATTGGCTAAAGGAGCCCAAGTGCTCCTTGAATTTCAGGTGGATGGCATGTATGACACGCTGGAGCTCCATGACCGTCGAGCGCCGCCTTTTTTGCGGGGGTTCGCAAATGTTCGCAACACATCGCAACACCACTCGCGACAAGTTGTGTAGAATTGCTTATGCTTAGTATAGACTTGGGAACCTCAGCTTGCTGGAAGTCTTGACTAATTCTTGTTGACAGATTGTTATTGTGGGGGATGCAGTGGAATGTGCGAAAGCAATAAGCTAGGGACTTGAGAGCCAGGTGCCAAAGCGGATATGATTGTTGGCTGTGGCACGGCCCTTGGTTCCAGAGCTAATGCTCCAAGAGAACTGAGTCAAGATGCAATTTGATGGCACTTGACTTACGCCCAAACAAACATTGTTGAACGTTGGATCAATACTCTTGAATGTCCTTGCTGCGGAAGGTCTATCGCAAGTAGATCAAGACTAGCGAAAACTGCGAAATGACCAAACATCCTTCCATACATGGGGAAATGATACCATGGAGATGTGGAGATGTTGAGATGTCGGAGATGTTGAGATGTCGATAACCTACACAGTAAACTATATCCCAGAGGTTTCATTATGTTTAAGTTATGCCGCGTTGAAGGGTACGAAGGTGCATTTGAGAGACGATGCTGGATTTTACTGTCAATGCTGTTATGCACCGTCGAAGGCCTTGCAGCGATTTCAGTTCTTTAAAGCCTTGATCAAGCAATTACTGGAAAAAAGTTCCAACCAGTTCCGAATGAAAGATACAGTGGATCACTCATTAGTTTTGATTGGGTTTGTGCACATGTATGGCCCATTCGCATTGGAACAGAAAACGTGAGGTACTTATAGTATCTTCAAGCCACAGCTAAATATGTGTTAATATGTGCACCCAGAACTTGCCAGCGCAAAGGGTGATCCCTTTATATAGCACGTTGAAGATGTCTTTGAAAACCCATTGGCCGTGAAACCATGCCATTTGACCGCGAATTACAGCCACTGACGGTAAAGAAGCAGAAGCAAAAGCATTTCGGTTTCAATCAATGTCGTATTCAAACATTCAACCTTCAGAGCAGCTGACAAGGGCTGTGTTCAATGTTTGTTCACGCCTTCTCAAAAGCAACACGTAACACAGTCAACCGAGAACTTGAGAAGCTAAAGAAGTTGAGGGCACTCGACCTTTTTCAGCCACTCGAAGAGGGGTCAGCCTTCCATCGGAGACGTTCAGAGAAACACACACAAAATAGAGAAAAGGAAAAACGGATTGCCAACGCCCAAGGTTGGCAGAACGGCGGCACCTATCATTGCTCTTCCAGTGTAGTCAAGAGACACTAGCCAAGCTCACCAGCATAGGGGTAGGCTAGGAACCGTCCGACCATGTCCCAGCTGCCCGCTTGAACATCCCAACTTTTGTGCTGCCTCCCACTGAAGCCGACGTGATTGATTGGTATTGTTTTCACGCAAGTCATGTCCTTGCATGTTGAAAATGCCCAGGCTGGCACATGCTGGGGGATAATGAGATGGCATTGGAGCCTTTAATGAGAGTGGTTGCTTCGACGGGCAGGGCTGCCAAACAAGCTTGGTCAAGAGACTGAACAAATTGCTTAGGCTCAGATACCAATTCACGCCGACCCCTTGCAGCTCCGCAAAGCTTAGGCCTACCTGTGAGCGATCAGTTGTGTGCCATACAGGTGGCCGGGGTCCCATCGGCCAGATCATCGCCGATTCACCAACTTATTTGAGCCTACTTGGATCAAGATGAGGCAATGCCAATCCTTCAAAAGAAACATCGTTGGGGCCACATTGTTGAAGCAGGCCACCTGGGCGGTGCTGGGCGGTGGGCTGCCAGAACTTAGTGCGGGATGCTTTTATCGCTTTCCGGCTGCTGCTGATTTGTCAGGTCCCTTTGCATCGGGAACCTGCCAGAATGATGGAGTCTAAAGTTACAGTAGTGCAGTATCTTACAGTTCAACTTATTTCAGTTGTTCATGTTTGGATACATCTCTTGGGAATGTGTTGTTTCTTTTTGCCTTTGCTTATCAGGTGACAAGGCCTTCGAGCTTGCGGGCAAATGGGTCGGCTTCCTGGCTTCGGCCCGTGCTAGCAGCAGTTTGGAGGAGATCAGACACACTTGTGAATGGTGCTCAAGAACCATCATAGCATCATAGACATCTCAAGCAGCAACTGCCAGGCAGAACCAGCCTTGAATCATCTTCACTTTTGGGATTCCTAGTAATTCCTAATCCTAGTTGTCATGACATGATGATTTGCTGAGGTAGCGGCACACACCAACATAATTCAACACAAGTCCTTTTCACATTGGCTCGCTGACTGCATGACTCCAGTCCTGACACAGTTTGATGGATTCTGGCGACTCCAGCGACAATGTGCTCAAGTTCCTGCTACAAGCTGATCCGGGCATCCGTTACTTAGTTCTGACGGTGGAAGCTTGAATGGTACCACTGAGAATGGTAATGTGGAAACGGTACAAAAACTACAAACGATGAGTGAACAGATCACGCCTACAACGCTAGGGATGGCCACACTGGGTCCTAAAGTAGCTGCTCTAGTGTGACTGGCAATTGGGTGCTACTGTAACTCTCTATTTTCCATGCTTTCAGGGAGATGACTACATTGTGACTACATGATGACTAGATTCCCCAAGGCCATTAACATTGTGAGATGTTCGACCGGGATGTGAGCTGGGCGCTTTGCTTTTAAAAGAATCTGCTTGAGATTTCCTTTCGAGAGCGGAGCCAATGCCGACAACGGAGCCAATGCTTCACGAATTGGCCTCATACAATGAGCAGAGGGGGCTGTTTTTCGTGTATGAAGGGTGCAAGCAGGTTTTGGGGTTTACATCTGTCTTGGCAGATCGACCGGAGGTGTACTCTTCCTGGGCACCTTGTTTGCCACAAAGTGTGTAGCCTGGTCTGGTCTTGTGCTGGCGGCTGCTGCAGCGCGACCCCGCTACCTGCCATTCCTTTATGGAGGTGCCGGTGGGCGTGTTGCTCGGAAACGAATTGCAGCAGCAAGAAGCTGCAATGAGAAGATGGCTGCGCGCAACAATTGTGAAGGTCTCATAAGGTCTCCTCAAACTGCACCAGCCAAACTTGGTCTCAATTTCTTGCCACATGCAATTCTTCAGAATGGTTGACCTGGACATGTTTCGAACGATTGATTCGCCCAGGTTTTGACGCGCTTCGAGCATCACTTTCCCAAAGCCACTTTGCGCATCCAAGCCCTTTCAGCTCGTGCCGCTTCCTCACGTTCAGCTCAGCTACTGGCGCGTGCCACAGGGGCCGACCCGGCAGATCTAGCGCCAGCAGCAGCAGAGGTGCGGCGGTTGCATTTGCTGTGTTCTCATGTGTTGTCAAGCTTGAAGCAGTTGGTTTCACAAGCAGCGGGCTAAAGTAAGCCGGAAAGTGCAAGTGCAAGAGGAGATCGGAGACACAACATGACACAATACTTATCAAATCGTATCAATGTGTCAAATCAGGTGCCTTTTTTTCCACGAAATCCGCCAGGGAGGCGAGTCAGAGTGTGTTAGCACCCAGTTCCCCGTGCTCAGTCCCAGGTGACGGTCGCCTTCAGATTTGTGTGGCCGTTGTGGTGGCTCAGCGGCGCATACCGTGGCTGCCGCACACACCGTGAGTGACCAAGTTTAATGAAAGAATAGTACGTAATTCAAGTAAGAGACCTATTACTTGGACCAAGTAATGGTATATAAGTCACATAGTGGCTAGTGGTCAATTACTCTTGGACCAAGTAGAGTATGTGACCAAATGTTGGTCCGGATAGCGGAAGTCTCTCTACAATGGACATGTTAAACTGGCGCATCAGAATGGCGCATGTCTTGGTAAGACTGCTAACATTGAAGATTGATAGCAGCCCTTTGCAATTATGCTGACAAGCTGTTTAAACCGCGATTCCTTGTTTAGTTCATCTTCATAACGTGCAGTTCCACTTCGGAGCTGCGGTTCCCAACTACTGTACTGGTTCTTTTGCGTACCTGTTGGCTGACAGTGGCCTTGGCCCCACACTACCACCACTACGACATACCACAACTCATATCGTGTTTACGCTTGTTTTTGCCGTATATAACGTACGATGCCATAAGAAAATATTTCATAGGTGGCAGTACTGTACTTGTCGATATCATTTCAAACAGGGAGTGGTGGGGGGGGGTCATAATAACTTTCTTGTTGAGAGTTAAAGGATCCAACATAATTAGGACATTAGGACATTATCCCACAATCATCTAGAGTCTCAGATTTGGAAACATGTTTTTTTTGCTTGTGAGAGATGTGCCAGTTTTATTTGCTCTGGTGAAGCCCATTTTTTGTTGTGCCAGGTTTTTATGTGCCTCTCTGAGGCCCTTGCATAGCATCACCGGACGCCATTTTCCCAGTCCCATTATATAAAACTATTTTGGGGGTGGGGGACTCCTCCTGAGCCCCTTCAATAGCACCACTTGGTGGCTGTGGAGGCTCGTGGCTGGTACACAGGCTGTAGAAATTGCGGGACAGCCAGTACTTGGGCAACTACACTAAAAGAAAGAACAAGACACAACAAGCAACAGCCAAACACAGTCAACATGTTTAGAAGTTCTAGGCATTGCGGGGTTGAGAATACTATTTTGGGGGTGGGGTACCTCTCTGAGGCCCTTGGATGGTATCACCCGATGCCATTTTCCCAGTCCTATTGAAATTAGTTTTGGTGTGGGGGGGCCCTTCTGAGCCTGTTCAATAGGACCAGTCAACCCTCATTTTGGGGGAATGTATGGGACCGTGGCCTGACGGCAAATTATTTTGCAAGTGCTTGACTGTGAAACGACTTGTGTGTGACGCTTGCCATGAATCTCCCGGTAAATCCCCAGGAATACCACCCACCCCCATTTTCCAGGTTGTATTTTAGGCAGTCCGGACTCTCAGAATTATATATATATAGTTAAAAAGTAGTCGGGTGTACCCACCTCAAAAAAACTGATAGAACCGACGAACCCGAATGCGGTCACTTTGTATAGAAGTGTAGCACTCAAAGCGTTCTTGTTTTCGGAGATGATTCGCAGAGTCATCAACTAAAGCAGCGCCAGCACCTCCCCAGCCGTTTAGACACTCTTTCTTGACTCTCTTTGCTAGACAATCTTTCTTGACACTTTCTCTTGACACTCTTGCTGGGCACTCTTGCTTGACACTTTGCTGGATACTTTTACAGGACATTCTTGCTTGACATTTTTGCTTGACACTCTTGCTGGGCACTCTTGCTTGACACTCTTGAAACCAAGCATTTTTCACGAGACTTTCACCAGAAGCGACAATCCAAGCTTCCAAAAACGAGCATTTTCCACGAGACTTTCTCTTGCTAAACAGTCTTGCTTGAAACTCTTTCTTGACACTCTTTGCTAGACAATCTTTCTTGACACTTGTTCTTGACACTCTTGCTTGACACTCTTGCTTGACACTCTTGCTGGACACTCTTGCTGGTCTCTCTTGCTGGACACTCTTGCTGGACACTCTTGACACGACACTCTTGCTTGACACTCCTTCTTGACACTCTTTGCTAGACAATCTTTCTTGACACTCTTTGCTTGACTCTCTGCTAGACACTCTTGCTGGACACTCTTGACAGGACACTCTTGCTTGACAGTCTTGCTAGACACTCTTGCTGGACAGTCTTGCTTGACACTCTCTCTTGACACTCTTTGCTAGACAATCATTCTTGACACTCTTTCTTGACACTCTTGCCTGACACTCTTTGCGGGACACTCTTGCTGGACACTCTTTGCTAGACATTCTTGCTGGACACTCTTGCTTGACACTCTTTCTTGACACTCTTTGCTAGACACTCTATCTTGACCCTCTTTGCTAGACACTCTTGCTTGACACGTTTGCTGGGCACTTTTTGCTAGACACTCTTGCTTGACACGTTTGCTGGGCACTCTTGCTGGACACTCTTTGCTAGACATTCTTCCTAGACACTCTTGCTTGACACTCTTGCTTGACACTCTTTGCTAGACACTCTTTCTTGACACTCTTTGCTAGACACTCTATCTTGACACTCTTGCTTGACACTCTTGCTGGACACTCTTGCTTCACACTCTTGCTGGACACTCTTGACACGACACTCCTGCTTGACACTCTTTCTTGACACTCTTTGCTAGACAATCTTTCTTGACACTTTCTCTTGACACTCTTGCTTGACACTCTTGCTGGGCACTCATGCTTGACACTCTGCTAGACACTCTTGCTTGACACTCTCTCTTGACACTCTGTGCTAGACAATCTTTCTTGACACTCTTTGCTGGACACTCTTTGCTAGACACTCTTGCTTGGCACTCTTGCTGGGCACTCTTTGCTAGACGCTCTTGCTTGACACTCTGCCAGACACATCTAGACACTCTTTCTGGACACTCTTGCTGGGCAGGACACTCTGCTAGACACTCTTGCTGGACACTCTTGAAATGACATTTTGCTAGACACTCTTTCTTGACACTCTTTGCGAGACATTTTGCTAGAAAGTGTAACACAGACAAAGTCCTGCCAGGTATGTCACTTTCCGACGTCAAGTCTCCAAAACGAGCGTTTCATACGAGACCTCCTCCAAAAGTCACACGGCAAGTCTCCAAAACGAGCGAGACTTCCTCCAAAAGTCACACGTCAAGTCTCCAAAACGACCGTTTCGTACGAGACTTCCTCCAAAAGTCACACGTCATGGCTCCAATACAAGCGTTTCGTACGAGACTTCCTCAAAAACTCTCAGATGTCAAAGTCTGCAAGACGAGCGTTTCGTACGAGACTTCCCCCCAAAGCCAAGCGGAAACACCCATCGGAGCACACCGACCGCGCAGCCCGCTCACACGCCAATCCCAATGTCACAGCGACACTCACCCCCACCACAACTCACAACCTCACGATCCCCTGCGCCCGCCACGAACCTCTCCACGTCCACACGTCTAACGCGCACAAAGTCCGGCACCTGCCACGAAATGTCACCTCCGTCACACATCGCAACCTCACGATTCCCTGCGCCTGCCACGAAAATCGCACTTCCACACCTCTTGACTCAAAACCCGCACAAAGTACTGCGCCTGCCACGAAAAGGGACAGTGACAATGTCATATCATGTGAGCTTCAACAAATTTGCACCACACCACACGTTCGGAATGATTCCGGCCCATTCTGAGCACACTCCCATCCACCAAAATCACCATTTCAGCTGAGACTTGTCACGAAAACAGCGCTTCGATGCCACACCCTGAAACGCTAACCCCAAGGCACGGCCACATCCAACACCCCAAAAACACGACCCTCCAAACGCCAACCCCATTGAAATACCGACACAAACGTGTCACTTTCACGAAACCCTGCGCCTGTGCAGCGAAATGCATCACGTTTCTTGCGCGACATGTCACTTTCATGCAAATCCCACTGTAATAGCGGCGCAAACTGACACGTGCCACATCCATGAAAAGTCACTTGCAAAAGCTTCCCCCAATGGCAGGGCCATAGAGACATCATACGGACGGTCGCGGACGGTTGCAAACGGTTGCGAACTCGAAAACAACGTCGGGCAAACACAGCTCTACCCTCAGACTCCCAAGTTAAACGAGAACCCTTCGCTACGCATTCGGGAAAAAGAGTCTATTTTGCTGGGTGGTGGACGGTACCACCTAACTATGGTATCCCTCATTTGCCCCATGTTGCGCCGCTCCAAAACATGTTCTCACATGCCGCTGTCATTTCTGCACGTTGGGGATCTTTGGGGGGTGGATGGCACCGGTTCCAGAGGTTGAGTGTTCGGAGTTCGGACGGCGCCTTAGGTTCCCAGTGCAGTGCTGGCTATTGATGAACCTCTTGCCTGGCCCGTGGATGATGAATTCCCACGGACATCACAGCAAGAGGGACGCTGAAAGCATAGAAGACATACCCGCTGAAAGCATAGAAGACATACCCTGAGGCTTTGAATACCCTTCTCAGATGAAACCACAGTATTGCAATGTTTTGCATATTGCGACTATTGCTGGATTTGCTAGCCACCCTGTATATCATGAAGAGCACCAAGTCAACAAGTGCGGAATGCTTTTGGAACATTTTTTGTAAGGGGCGTGCCCACACGCACACAGCACAGCCCAGAAAATATGCACACTCACACACTAGTCAAGAAGAATACCTGATGCTCCAGGAGAAAGTGGATGACCTGTTTTCTTTGATGCATCCTGACACCTCTCCGAATGTCTCTCTCTTTAGCATGGTTTCTGCGGGATCGGCAGTGTCGCTCGCGCAGCCTTGGTAGATGAAACAATGCCACAAGAAGAGGGCATCGCTGAAGCTCCCGAAAACCAGAGGCCGAAAATCGCAGATCGCAAGCAGCAAATTGAAATTTCAACCCACACCAATACTCCGATGACTCAGTTTGCCTGTTGCTTCTTTATATACCGAGACTCTGATTCACCGACCCATCGATTTGACCTTCGGGTTACAACAGTACACCGATCCATTTATGTTATAGAATCTTATGAACATGCTGCTCATGCATGTGGAGCCATTTTGTTTGTTTAGTATAACCTATTGTTACCGCGGATGATTGTTAAATGAGGAGTCTCTTGAATGATGAATGACTGTTAAATGATATCATTCATGGGGAGACGGTTCAATGAGGGAACAGCGCCAAGAACATTTACTACAGTATATAGACACACCCGCGCACAGGTCTTCCCGAAGTCACCGTGAAGGGGCGCCACGGCGTATCAGCGCAATTCGCTTTGCAGACTGGAAACGTGAGAAACTGAAAGAGGACAGAAACATCAGCTTGGGCTTTGGAGTGGTCCCACGCTGGCATGTGCAGGCACTCCTTGTGCTATTGAGCTCATGGAGGCAACCGCCTTCAGCAACAAGTTCAACTGCAAGTGAGTCACTCACAAGCCATTCAATTGTGTCCATGACTTTGGACAGAAAGCAGAAACAATATCATGCCTTGAACACTTTACCCAGATGCGATATTTTGAATACTCATTGTACTAGGAAACTAGGTGGGCCTAGACAGAAGAGAGAGAGAGAGAGAACAAGAGAGAGAGTATTGTATGATATAATATACTTATATTATATCAATATAGACCCCCTCCGACATTTCTGAATCAGGATTCCAAAACACTAGAGAACCCCAGCTCTGGCAATGAACTTGATGTTAGATTGTGCCTGGGTGCAGCCATGAGAGTGGGATGCCGCTACATGTGCTACCCAACCAGACCAATTTGGTGGTATGCGGCCTGTCCGGGAAGCGTTTCTTGGCCAGAACGCGAAGACTTTGTTCAGACAAGTCAATGATTCAATGATGTGCGCCAATGGGCCTACGAACGTTTTCTACAAAGCACGGCTTCGATGACACTACACAGCTTGTCCAGTTCCCTGTGCATCTCAGGCTACTCGGGCGTGGCGGAGTTGCATGATTTTCTCAAGCCTTTGCTCCCAGATGGGGTTGCAGCCAGCTGGAAAATCCAACAACATCCGACCAGGGGGGAGGAAATTCGACCGTGTGAGGCGACATGAGGCGAAAGTGTTGCAAGATTCTATGGGAAACGGGAAAGGGTTGTTTCTTCTATATAGTTGGAACCTTCAAGAAGAAACACTTTTGTCCTAGTATGTATTCCGAGGTGCCAATGAGCACCACCAAAGCAGGATCAAAAATACAGCACCCAACAGTCAAACTGGCCAGGCGGCCAGGCCAGTGAATTTTCTGAACCATCGCAGCAGGTACAAGTTTCTAGCTGAGCCTGGAATTCAATTCCTTTGGAGTTCAATGTTTGCAATACCTTTTCCACCCGGCCGGGCGCCAGAGAGTTGACCTAGCAACTTACCTGGCATCTGAGGTACTTATTCCACGGGATGGCCTTTGCTCTGCTGAAGCATTGAATCGCTATGTGAGGCTTTGTGGCAATCCTCCGGCCATGTCATGTACCATATGTACCATTTTTGCCATGCCATGATGGTGGGCTTTGTTCTTACCGCTTTCATGGTTCCTGGCATCACTTGCAGACACTTGCAGCCTTTGATTCAGGTGGGCGTGTGCTTGCTTCTTCATCCGGGTTGAAGCTCCAGATTCGGTTCGAGAGGCGCAGCAAAGCAGAAGCGGTTGATGAGCAGAGACACCACAAATGTTTTCTCGTGTTTGTGTTGAACTGTGGGTAACTCTGGACAAGAAACCCGACATGTTAATGAAGATGTTAATGACCATTGGGACCAATCATGTGTTTTAGTTTTCCTAAGGCTCATTCTTGGCACCAATGATCATTATAGATGACTCTGCCAGAATGGACTCTGCCAAAAAAAGTGCCAAACGGAGACCCACGTTTTCATGCGGAGACATGCCCCCTGAGGCCAAGGGCTGGAAAGAGAAGTTTGGACCCGATGATTTGGTGAGGGACGAGCACTGGACAGAGCTTGCACTTGATGACTGGGATGGTTGGGATGCAGTAGCGCGGCCTGAGTCACCAGTTTGCTCAACCATTCCAGGAGTTACCAGACCCAAGTCGTTGGCCAGGGCCAAGGCCCTTTGTATAACGGGAATCATTCGCCTAAAGGAACAGCCTGCTTGGAGAAGTCTCGGCCTGTTTGAGGTAGTCCACCACAATGGGGACAGCTTTGCGCTGCAAGCAGAAGCTCAGCGCTTGGCAATTCGTGTATCTGACTTGCGAAGGACCAGACTTCGTCGAGCGCGCAAGCAGTTTGCTCGACATGACCTAGACGGTTGGCCCATATTGCCCCAACATATAACAACATGAGCTAAAGGAGCAAACAGCATCCCAGCTGAATGAATGGACATGGGAAATCGCAGCAATCCAGCTGCTGTATAAGGTCGCGGGCGTGATTAGTTTTGTCAACTGTTTGGCCTGCATTAGCTGCATGTTGAAAAAATGAATCTGAAGATGCTCCATGAATAAAGGAGCCCAGAACTTTCTCAGCATCGAGCAGTGCCAGAAGCAGCTGTGAAGCAGACTGAGCCATTTGCCTCAACCGGGATTGATTGTTGAATAGTGGCCCAACGCGGCAGACATTTGGAAGCGACTTCATGTGTCTCGGTTTGTGTCCTGATCATAGTTGCGGGTTGGCACTAACAGTCACTGACAATATGCACGCATACTTGGCCAACCACATGATTTGAGTTCTGCTGGCCCAGTGGCCAGTGAATCAAGCATACAGCAACTTAAATTTCCTTTGTCAGACGCCTCACTTTTGGTGAGTGAACGTCAGGAGCATGATCCGAATAGTGCACTGATGTTGGTGTGAGGTGAAGGCCACCCATACATTGCTCAAACACCCCCTCACTAAATGCAACAAAAAGAAACTCGCATTTAAACGAGTCTTGTTTCCCCCGTTTCCCCGAATGCGTCGATGGCCACTGTGGCCATCCACATTGGGACTGATTGGTCCTCTAAGGTTTACAACGCCGATGCCAGAGTGTATGAAATTTGGTGGGGCGGAGGCATACGTACCCTCGACCGTGGCACAGCCATCCCCTCAACAAGCCGCTGCTTTTGCGAGAGAGGCTACAGAGGACTCTACATGACTCTAACTCTAACACAGCGAGAGAGAGAGAGAGAGAGAAAGAGAAGCGGAGAGCTGAAACATCGACAATTTGCAGTTGCTAGATTGAGAGTGAACTTTCTTCGGCCAAGCCTGAGGCATCCGGCTAATTGAGGCCATAATATATGGGTCACCTAGAACTTTGAGGTGCTGATTTCGCACAGCTTTCGATCATGTTGACATGACTTTCGATTTGCTACTAGTAACAAGAAGCTACTAGGAGCAAGGACGCTACTAGGGGCTCCTGGCCGTACTACTAGGAACAAGAAGCTACTAAGTACTAGGAGCAAAGGGCATCGCTACCAGTGGCTTGAAGCTACCGCCCCTCGGAAGGATCTCTTGGAGTCCCCAGGCGCGGTGTGAGGATCGTCGTTTGTCTCTCTCTCTCTCTCGTGGAATTCAACGTCGAAGGATCAGGAACACGATGAAATGTTTCATACTTGATGTGTGCTGCTTTTTCGTAGGAGGGTAGTGCACAGAAAGGGCTTTGCAAAAACCTATTCTACTAACTTTGTGGAAAGCCTGGGGCATTCGTGGTGTTTAGTATTCGGGGCTATTCGTGGACGTTTTGAGAATGGTTGGCCAGTAGGAAATTTCCTAACAGTAGCCAATAACGAAAACCCAGAAACCTTCGCAGAACTTTGCGGAAGGATGTGGCAGGTATTTTTGATCTACTAACTTCCTACAAGTTGTACAAGAAGTTTTTGCTCACCCCCTTTCCCCACACACCCTCCATGTCATGTACACAGACTTCTCAGACGTCCTCAGTAGCGTTGCTGAGAAACCAATTCATGGGATGCCATGACGAGAACCGACTGGTGTCAGTGCTTGCTGCTTTTGGTTATGAAGATCAGTGCCTTCATCGCACCTTGAAAATGACACTGGAACGTAACAATGTCAGACAAAAAGAAGTCCAACAGCCCACAACATCCCAGCACTGCTGCAGGCGCCAAAGAGCCCCTGGAGATTTTGTCACCGCCACCGCCCAGCCGACCTGCAGCATTGGCCTGTACAGGTTGGGACGATGAGCCAAATACAAAAGTGCAGGTGGTTCTGCAAGCGCCATGACAGGATTAGCTGGCCCACCAGGACAAAAGCAATGTCAACTCATGTCAAGAAATAAGTAACGGATGAAATACATTGAATTACTATACTATACACTCTAAATGAAGGTTTGCGGGAGCTGCATTTGATGATGCTACATAAATAAATAAATATATATATATATATATAATTATATATATATATATCTACGGCAGACTTGCTGGCTGTTGCTGCTTTTCTGCGCAGATGTGCCAGCTGCACAAGCCCAAGAGGTGGGAGAATGCGAATCAGCTGCACCGGAGCCTTGGAATCCTGCCAAATCCGTTTTCCGGGTGTCTCACCATTGCAGGAGCAAGAACGCTACTAGGAAGCTACTAGTAGCAAGATCGGGGGAACATTCCCACAATCCATCAATGACATGACTCGTGTACTCCATGGCCCGTGTCCAGCATGTTTGCCCTTTGGGACACCTGACTTTTCATGATAATAAGATCGGCCACAACGATGTGACCAGGTCGTGGCCGAGCTCCCGGGCGACGGCGAGCTCGAGATGTCGCTTGGCCTAGTTCGAGACAGGCAGCAACGCACGTCCAAATGCCCGTTGGTTTTGGGAGGTCTGTGAAGTGGCCAACTTCATCAGAGTGGTGGCAGGGCAAAAGCCTCAGAAGAGAAACAGAGGCGGTGACATGTAGTACTGTAGATCATAGTCATAGCAGTGATGATGTGCTATGTTTTATGTTTTTGTTTTCAGGATGGCAAATTGGATTTGGCCTGTAAGGATATGGATATGGAAGTTGGTGGAACCATGGCTGGAGTGACTGGAGATCTCAGGACGGGGAACACACGGTGAAGCGCTGGGCTGGGCGCTGACCTTAAGCTCTTAAGTGACCCATGTCCAAGTCTGGAGAGTTAGAAGAGCATGACGTGAATTGGTCTGCAAGATCACCAGGAGAGGGTGTCCATTTGCCATGCTGGCTCAAGGGTTTTTGAGGTTTTGCACTGAGTGGGATGCAGTAGCGCGATGCCATTTCATGGCCAAGCCATGATTCTTTTAGGGCGGAGTCGCTCTAAGCGCCTCTTTCCTCGGCTTTGGCATCTGAATTTACCTCAATGGAATGCCTCACGGATGTTTGCATGGTATCGTGACTTGAACAAGCGCAGACCGTACAGCTTGGCATTTTGTATGTTGTCGGGGAAGGCCGCTCTCTGTGATTGGTTCTCACAGAGTGTGCTAGAAGGCCATGAAGTAGATAAGCCACGGCTCATTTCATCAGCTTTGTTTGGAGGCGGCTGGCAAGGACGGGTTTGGAAGGGGGCCAATCTTACCATTTTTGTTCGAGTGCAGTGCAGTGCAGTGCAGTGAGGATCAGGATGGATCAAGGAATGTCATGCCATGATGTGATGCGAGACCCTTTGAATGTTAAGGGGCTAACCCTGATTTCAGGATGTGGTCAATACTTTGTCTATAATGTGGCTTTCACTGCTTTGATTGGAGCTGGTACATGTACAAAGACTGTCTTGAAGAAACTAGCGGCTGATTGCTTCATACATACGCCCTTCATGTGGCTGCCTGTGAATTTGTCAATGTACGAAACTTTCAAGAACGGAAGCCTACGCCGTGTGCCGGAACGCTGGCGAAACGAAGTGCTCCCGACGATGACCGTCTACTTGATGGTTTGGCCTGGCGTCCCTCAGAACGAAAAAAGGGATAATATAATATATATATATATATTGCGATAGTGGTTTCAGAGTAGATGGTACAAACCCCAAGATGTCTTTACATGGGGATCTATATAAACCACCTTTTGGTGATTGTGCCATCTACTCTCAATCCACTGTATGTTTGTTTGTCAGGGTTGCAGTTATGCTGGCCATATATCTACTGTATACCGATCTTCTCTTGGACTTACTTAGATGTTACCAATATACCTTGAGTCTCCAAAGGCCTTTTTTTTCTGCGTTTTTGTTTTGGGCCTGATATTTTTGTGCTTTTGCTCGAAAAACGCATTTTCAAAGATGAGGACTCAAAAAAAGGTACAGAGTGAATCTTCATCCGGACGCGTCCGGTGCGGACGCTTAAAGACGCCTTTTGGACGCAAAAAGACGCGTTTTGGACGCCGAAAAAAGGTCTCAGGAAACTGTCTAAGGAGGATCTGACAGGGCACAAACAAAAAAGGAACATGTCGTGACATATGCAAAAAAAAGTGCTTTCTTTCAAAAACCTCTTTTTCTTGCAAAGGCAAATTTAAAAGGGTCATTGGAGACTCAAGGTATGTAGATTTCTTTCAAGATCAGCCTGTCACCAGCCCAGGGCCCTTTCGCCCCCTGCGTCGACCGAACAAATTGAGGTGAACTTTTTGAACTTTATGTTCGTCCCAATAGAGCTCCGGATGACCGTGATTTTCTTTGCATCAATTTTCTGGTATGTGGGTGCCACATATGTCACCCATGGGTCTGCCTACGCACGGACCTAAGACCGTCGCAGTGCAAGTGCCTGAGCTGGGATGCAGAAAGAGCGCAAGCTGTTTGCCCTTGGCGCTACCTTGTTCAATCAATACCTTATCTAGCCACATGGTTGTTTTTACATTGTAACTGAGAAAACTTGGAGCTGATGAAATTGAGAAGATGATTTGCAGGTCTTTCCTTTGATGCCTTTTCTCGACTTATCATCCTTTTAGCCCTGAGAATAGAACACCGTGGGCACAGAGGAGAGGCCCCTATATATCCAGAGACCCTTGCAAGAGAAACATAGACAACACATATCAAAAAATGATTGGGCCCAAGGGTGCCTTGACTCTAGAGTGTGGAGAAGACCAGATGCTGCAGTGCAGCCAGAGGACCACTGGGAATACACCTGGGGTCAGGCGAGAAGCTGAGTTACATCAATGCTTGCAGTGAGTCAGATTCATTTTGTTGAGATCATGGCCCAGCTATGCTCAGCAAACCTCGTTCGACTGTGAGACAGGCCCTCCAGAAATCCTTACAAGAAACATCAAGAAACCCTGGCCCTGGTAAAACCACTTTGGATTTTGAGCTCTTCGGGTATGGCCGAAGCTTCAGAAACTGCGTCGTTCTTTTCGAAGACAGGCTGGAACAACCTGGAGCCCTTGGCGCTATGAGCGCAGCGATTGAGTCCTGAAAAAGCGGGCATCGCAGCGATTGGTTCCCCACGGAGGTCGCTGGCTTCGATTGCTTCTTCCCAGAAGCCTCGCTGGCAAGATCTTGCAATCCACGCTTCCTAACAAGAGGGCACGTGTTCAGCGTGGAGACGGCATTTCAGTAGTGCTTCTTTGGTCGAGGTTCATTTCGAGAAGGAAATGCTGTATATGATTCTAATGTTGTTTTTTTTTAAGGTTTTGCTTCAAGATGTTATATGATGTTTTAAGACAGTGCGGGTGCATTTAGATTTAAGATGATTTCAATCAATCCAGTTTGAGTTTGGGGCGTGTTTGTCATCCGTTTGATGTGCTTCGGAGCGTTTTGGCGTCGAGCGCAGCACTCTGTGTAGTGTTTGTTGCCTGCTGAGGTCGATCCTGCAACGCTCTCAGAGGTCGATCCTGGAACGGAGGTCTTTTGGAGTTGTTCTCTTGGCGAAGCTCGGTGCTGTTAGCAGATCCTAAGAATTCACTAGGCTTTCACCCAAGCAGCTCAGCAGGACATTCACTAGGCCTTCAGGCATTCTTTCTCTTCTAGATTGCAGTCCTTTATGATTATGATGGGGTCCTGTTTGCTTCCTATAACTCGGTGATAGGATTTCTGAGGCGGCACTCAGTCAGTTGCCCCATCCGAAACTCTTCAGCCTGTTGCAGATTCATCCGAGGTTTTGCCATTCTTGAAAGGTGTTGCCTTGGGCAGACTTAAATGTGCGGCTCAGGCTTGCCCGTAGGAATCGGTTCCATCGGAAGTCTCTTTCACTCTGGCGCTATCTTGTCCTTTATGTTTGCCCTAAACTCAGCCTTCTCTATCCTTTGTCATCCGTTTTCATCATTTTTCATCATCATACCGTTGGTTTTGACAGGCAGCCGACTGCTTGGAAGAGGCAATTGCGATGAACAAGGGCTTCAAACAGGCTTGTGAAGACATGAATGTGAGAGCTTTGCCACACCACACACTATTTTGCACAGCCTATCTCATTTGTCTTGGAGAGTGCGGCATCCCAGGCACATTTGGAGTTTCAGCAAGCAGCGGCGGAGCTGGAAGACATACATCGATGCAGGCGTTCAGCGGTGGGTTTCTTTTGCAAACACCTGTTGGATTCGATGGGCGGCTGGATCATATTGCGCTGGTATGCACCGGTGATGTGGTGAAATTGCAAACAATTGACACGAGTGAAAAAGTCTTAACATGTCTTGTACAATAGAGAATTCTGATTCAGACTTCAAAATCTGATCAACTCGGCATGATGCCATTTGTTGCCGAGTGCCTGTGAGGCGGGTCGCTCAGTTGCTTGTGGATCATGGAGGTCAATGCCTTAAGGGCCTCTTGATAGAGTACGATTGAATGGGCGAAGATGAAAGAAGAGCTTTTCAGAAAGATAAGAGAAAGATAGAGGAGTTTGTACCTCTTTTCAAGCAATGAGTTTGCTCGGCGAAACCTTTTGCGTCAACGCCAACCTGATGCTATCTCAAAATATCTCTAACAGATTCTTGCCATTCCCTTACTGGCTCTTTGGGATTTCTGGCTTGGGCAACTTCGAGGGGGCTTCACAGTTGAATTTGATTTAGTTGACTTTGTTGCTTGGAATTTGATGGGAGCGGCATCACTTTTGATTGCCCAAAGCTCAACATTACACAATTTGGGTTGAAAGTCTCGTGTTGACCCAGGACATTTACAAGACTTGTTTTCCAGAACTGAGATGAACTAAGCACTGATTCACACCTGCTCGAACTAATCTGAAGGATGTAGCATGATGTATGTGGCGTATGTGGGAAGAACATGGAAGAACGACCCTCATCGTGCAGGCTACTGGGTGAACTCTTTACAGAGACCCTTGCACTTCGCAGCTCAGCCAAAGGCCCAAACAAGTGCAGAGATTGGAGCCGTTGGTGGTCTTTTAGAGCGTCGTCAAGCAAATTTTTGCGCGAGGTATTCCAACGAAGGAGCTAATTATTATGTTTTTCTCCACAACGACGGCATGTTCTTCTTATATATCTTATATATAATATATATATATTACTTATATACGTGTTTTTTGCTTCGACTCACCTTGCACTTCCAGCGCGCAATTGTCTCAAATCCGTACTTCATCGTGGCTTCTTTAGTTGGCACATGTTTGCACCATCTACTGTAATCGGAAACTATGTATCATCAGCATTTGTAGGTCTCTTGCCCTCATCTCGTTCCATTCCATGGATAAACTGATGTCATTTTGTCGCGGTGATTTTTGACTTGTCTTTTGATCTCGGAATATGCTGTCCCTTTGAGTTGAAATCGTTTCGGCAATCTCTCATCTCCATTCATCTCAAGTTGTTGCTCCCAGCTCAATCATCCATCTTGGCGCGTGGAAATTTATCCGACACTCTTTGTGTTGGATCAGCGGCTCAAATATCTCTGAAAAAGCTCGTTGCAAGCTTGTGTTTTGGCAATTGATGCCTGTGGTCCACCCCGGCAATGTCCAGTTCTTTCCGAAGGTGAGGTCGCAGCCATGGTATGAAGCGGACCAATTTGAGTGTCTTGGCCAAACAGATGCGCTGAAATATGTTGAAAAGATTCATGCCTATTGGAAATTCCAATGCTGAAATGACCTGTTTGACTTGAGCTTTCACCCAACTCCACTGTCCCCCACTTAATTTGGTTGTTCCATACTTCTCCTCCAGCTGATCCAATGCGACATGCTGTGACATGCTACATCCCACAAAGCACCTGAGGTAGCAACATCACAAAGCAAAAGGATGATTGCTCATGATTGCTCTTCCCAACCCCCACTGTCAATGTGCCAAGGCTCGTCAAGGCCCTGGAGCAGAACTATGCCGTCAGCTGCCGAGTCGCATCAACTCACCAAGTCGCCAATCTTCCACAGAACTTCCAGGAGCGGAGGACAATGGTGAGGATAATATGATATAAGTTGATATGATATAAATTGACATTGAGCATTTTGAAGAACTAGTCCGACAGTGCTTTCTGCCTCACCTGTCTTGAGGTCATCAAAGGTGAGCTAGAAGCCTTCAACAAATTGAGGCAGATCTTTGCTCATCTCGGAGCTGTCAGCCCAGACGTAGAAACGGTCGACCTGGAGATTTAGCAAACAGCCTCTAAGTCTGGCCGACCGCGCAGCGGACTTCTTAGATCTTCCTGAGTTCCCTTTGATTGCGTGACTTGACAGACATAGTAAAATATTGAGCATGTGCTGTAAGGACTGATGAAGTGCCATGAGCTGGGGATGGGAGATGGCCAGATGGCCCAACACAATGAAACGTGGCGATTGAACGCAAACATGATAAGGTTGTGACTGCTTATATAGAGTATTATATCGTATTCATTAATTAATTGACTCAACAGTAACTCAGTACTCAAGGATGGATGCCCATCATACTCGTTCGAGGTGGAACCGCGTTGGTTCAGCACATCGAGGCAATGAAAATTCGCCGGGACCTCTGACCTCAGCGAGATTCAGCAAGGGTGTGATGGGATGACCGGGATGAGTCCAATAGGAGCGCTGGCGAGAGTTCACACCTAGGGCAGAAATGGGCAGAAGCACAGACTGGATGTTTCTCATGTTTCTCAATGGTTAATGTTTTTTTAGTTGTGTCGATGTTGCTTGTGATTCACCTGAATGAGCAGATATTAGAGCATTAGGTTTTGCATGGTTTCAAGATGTTTCAATTCATCAAATGTGTTTACCTGTTTGACCCACAAGGTGCCATGATGCTGACCTTGTGTCATCTGGGGAGTGGCGAGAGGCAACGATTTTATTTTTTTCCCATCACAAGTACGCACCACTACATGGCATTCCACAAACAGCAACGCTGAGTCAAACGATCGTAGTGTTTGCAAGTCGTGTGTTTTTGATTGTTTTTGTCGCATTCTGCAACTGAAGAAGAAATAAGTAAGAGTCATCAGAAACCCTTGGGCACGCATGGTTCCCATCAGCTGCATGGAGATGTTTTGTAGGTCGTTTTGCTGGGCGACTCGGACGAGTGTGAGGCAGCGACATAGACGATCGATGGGCCTCCAGGCTGACCAATTGAATGATTTGAAGGTCGGTCAGAATGGCTATTTTGATGGTCCTTGGCAGGTCCTTCCAGTTGCCACGGAACCAAGTGGCACACCAGTTTGGAAATCCCCTGTGGCAGGAGAATTGCCGCAGCTGCCCTCAGCCGGAACCCTAGGATGATGTGAGGGGCCATGTTGCGGTTTTCGGCAGGAGGAAAGGTGTGTGAAACATCCAAACGTTGGCCGTGTGGGATCCCGCATGAGCAAGCACGTACGGTCGAAGCAAGTGAACGAAGCAAGGAATCCGATGGAATCCTTGTCAACGAAATCCTTGCATCCAGTCTTCGTTCCATGCGAGTTTCGCCATGGGAACACTGCACTTCGCCACCTAGGACCACTTCACTCCTGCAAGGCTTCTTTGAGGCACTGGGCAATTCTACTGGGGAGATAGGAAGGTATGGACTGATGTTTAGAGTTTAGAAGGTGAAGCCAAGATAAGCCAAGTGCGCGATCGTAGATTATGGATAGACATTTGGGGTCCATTGGTGGGTGGTCACTGAGTCGTTCTTCTAGTATGTAGCGCTGTCGTCGTTTTCTGCTCAGACGCCTTCGCACGATGTTGAAACAACGTGTTATTTTTTTCATGTTTTGTCCTACTCTTTGCTGGGAGAATTTGGCGTGCCTTGTGTGCCCATGACCAAGAACGCCACTGGTGAATCTTGCATCGACCGAGTCACCATGCCACGCTGGCCGATGTGGTCAGACCGTTGCATGGGTGGATGGCGTTGATGAAGAAGTTGATGCTGCCATCGGCTCAAGATGGACATGGGAACCAGGCTTCTTTTGAGACACTTCGCGTTCCGATGGTTGGGCACCCAGAGGGACAGTCTTACAAGACAAAGGGTGTGGCACGTGACTGTCGCCAACGCTTCAATTGGCATGCTTGCCTGTGTTGACTTGATGCCCGTGCTCGGGTTCTTTTTTGGGTTTGTTAGACTTAGACACTGTGGAATGTCCAAATCCAAGTCGACCCAAATCACATACGCAAACACGTGCACGTGCACACACACATTCACACACACACATATATATATATATATACATCTATCTATATATATATATATGTAATACAGTATATTATGATTTACGTAGTGTTACACACCCACAGGCATACAGTATGTGTACACATTTTGTTGTATCCCTTTTGCCTACGACAGGGATTCTGAGTGTCACTGTTTGTCAAGTCGTTTGGGTTGTACATTTTGATATTTGCTCTTCATGAATTGGACCGTAACATTTGCTTCACAGCCTTTGGCAGTTTAGCCACCGTCGAGGCATGGAAGCATGGAACATCAAGACGGCTGCTTCTCTGCTTCATTCAGGGGTTGTCGTTTCGGCCGAAGGATGGAAATGTATGAAATGCCAGAAGCCAAGGAGAACCAATGCCATTTTTCTTAAAGCATAGGCATCACCTTGTACAGTGCTGGCAACAGCTTTATTCACCGGTCAAAACATAACAAAGGTTGAATGGGCAACTCTGGATCTAAATGATCCTACTCTGCCAAAGTATTCGAGTCCGCTTTGATCTCAGCGGGAGGCCCCAAAAGAATTGTGTAAAGCTAGGGGTTAACTCGTTTGAAAAGAGGTCTTGATCTCAGCCGAAGGCCCCTCAGCCCCCAAAAGCGGATTTTACAGAAACTCCTATTCAAGATGTTGACCTCTAAGGATCAGTATAATACCTGGATTCAATTACATCATATTAGATAGTTTCCGAACGACCTTTGCAGCCTTCGTTGGGGGTTCAACAGCATCCAACGTGGTTTGAGCACGAGAAGATTTGAGGGACGCCTTAGTTCTGTACCAGCTGTTTCCTTTTTGAATTCCCGCTTTAGGGATCTCGACGTAGTTTCACCTCCTGCTGGACACATTCTGGGTGTCCTGGGTGGTGATTAAATATAATCGAACACACTCACGCATTTTGAAACAGTTGCGGTCGCCATGTTGTTTCATGATGTTTCATGATGTTCATGCTTCTCATTCTCGGCAAAGAGTATGGATTGATATGGATTGATCATGATTGATCTCAATCACTGGCTGCGACAGGTACTGAGATGCTTGGAAGCAGATGTGCAGGGTTCGATCATAAATTAAAGGGCAATTTACGTCGTGACTTCCGGGCTGTATACGGCCATAATTATGATTCATACTCATAGGAGAATGTTGTTAATTGAGTCCAACTGGATGCATTTGCTTACTGCATTCTGTGCAATGTTCAGTTTACGGCACGTGTTTTACAAAGAAGCAGTGGTTGGACTCTTTGGGCATTTTTTTGGCTCGAAGAGACCATCAAGAACTGGAACCTTCATATTTTGTTTGAGCACGTGCTGTAGAACTACAAACTACAAACTAGCAATATTGCTAAACAAAGAAGACGCCAAGGAAGCCAACGTACTTCACATGTCATGCTTGCCGCATGCTTTGAACATACCCACCCTCGTTTGCTTGTTTTCTGTTTCTGCACTTTTTGGACCAAGAGGGGTGAAACAGTTTTGACAACCCTCGAGAAACTTGAAACCATGACAGTCAACGACAACTGGCAAGTTGTTTGCTTTGACTGGTGCATGCTGCTGGAATGCCCCGATGGTCCTCGATAGCTTCACAGACTGGTGAGCCATGTCCCAGAAAGGATATCCTTTCGAGCACTCAAATCTATGTACTTTGCATCCCGTCCAGAAAACAACACGCCACCGAGCTTATGGCAAAATGGGGGTTTCCTGATGCACAGCTGGTGGATGGGCCAGTAAAAAATGAGATAGACATGCAAGAATTGATCACTGCTGGTGTTGTGCTACGGGACTACCTGGATGTGCTCTGGCAAGATGTGGAATACTTTCCCGAGGGCAAGGTGGCATGTCACTTGGGTCATTTGGACATCCTGAAGAAGTTCTTGATGCAGGATACCAAGAGCTTTGCCTTGGTATTTGAGGATGACCTGGAGCCAGGGCCTGAGTCACTCCAGCAGGATTTACAACAATTTCTCACTTCTGTGCCAGAGGACTTTGATTTGCTCCACTTGGGTTTCGTTCGAGAGAGCCGAGATGCACGTGAACCGGTGAAGAGTGATGGCTCGGTGTTTCGTTCGGTGGAAGCCCTGGGAAGACACGCATATTTGGTCACTCGTAGGGTGGCAGAGCTGCTGGTGCAGCATACCCTGCCTATGTACAACCATGGGGACAAGATGTTTCAAGAAGTCTATCAACGATTCCAGCTGCGAGCATACCAGCCACCAGAACCCCTCTTTTTCCAAGACCGAATCCATTTCGAGTCCGAACTCACAGAGCGCTGGAAGCCTTCTCGGGCTTTCCAGCCCACTCCAGAGCACGATGAAATCCGTGACTCGGATCGTCCCGAGATGCTGCGGCGTTTACAGCGGCAGGACAAGAAACAGTCGTCCAGTTGGCCCAGAAGCAACACTGCACTATTCCTGAATATAGACGGTGTGGTCAATTCACTTGAGTCACCTTCTGATTCATCGAAGTGTGGTCGCCCAGATCCACACGCATTGGCGAAACTTGCTAAGATCATGAAGCTCACGGGCTGTTGTCTTGTTTTAACAAGTCCCTGGCGTTTGGACGAACGCTATTGCGGGCGTTTGGCCTCAGCTTTAGTGCGCAGCGGTGTCTCTTGGGCCACACAGGCGGTCGCAGCAACACCTGATGGCCGAGGTCATGCAGCCAATCAGACCGAGCAAAGGATCTTGGAGATTGGAGCATGGCTGGAGGAACACCCCTGGTTGCAGGGCTGGGTGGTTGTGGACTGCTTGGATTTGATGGCCGTGGATCCCACGATTCGCCATCAATTTGTGAAAACCGACACATCCATTGGGCTACTTGACAGCCATGTGGAGGAAGTCTTAGCAGTTCTGAAGTCCAGAGCGACAGAGCCGATGTGAACGACCTCGTGTGGACCTGCGCCGTGAACGAAAAGTTGGGACCTGCATGTCACTGCATGTCGCACTGCTGCATGTCAATACAGTCAGAGTTTTTGCATGTACCATCATGGATCACAACGTAATTATATAGTGTATGTGTAGATATCTTCTATTATTTATAACAGATATTTAGAATCATAGATGTTTAATTATACTTCCATTGCTCATCTTGGAATTTGCTAAGGACTATTCGGTAACTTCGGGTTTTCTTGCCCGTGCGTGGTGAGACATGCCAAACCTGACATTGAGATGATTGATGACGACCGCACGCCACCAAATCCTTCGACCGAGCGCCATGGCTTTGCATTGCTCTTGTCTCTTGAAAAGTGTTCGCCGGTTTCATGACTAGTCTGCTTAAACTTGTTCGAACAAGCGGTAACAATGGCTTCGATATGCTGCCAAGAGCAATTCCTTGTTGACATTGCCTTGATTCAGCTTCTTTTGTTTTGGACTTCTTGTGTTGTAGATATTAAAACACAGTTGACCATCAATTTGCATAATATGCTTGCAGTTCTGACACCCAACCGTACTGATTGAGGACAGTGGTTCCTGGTGAAAAGAACTGCTACTTCGCAGGGTCAGGAGCCAAGCTACCCTTCTGTCCACACACACACACACCCGCGCGTCGGCACACACTTCAGATTGCTGTGCGTAAGGTCAGTATGCCACATGCCCCGATGAAACCTAAGTACCCAAAGGCCTAAGTGGACCGGCCAAAGACTCAACGAAAGTCTCAACGAATAGCGACGACATCCACTGGAAGATACAGTTCACAACCTGAGCAGTTACGTGGGACTGGCCAAGTCCCACATCCCGTGACATCACCCAGCTTCGTTGGTCAAGGTTGGTGATATCGCGCCTTGACCCTGGGCTGTTTACAAGTCCGAAGGCATCCTCCGAGTCCACAGTGCACACACACACACACACACACCTGCGCCCGGTCACGACGGCTATATACATGACTGCTGCAAGAATGAAGTCGTACTAAGCATATAGATGTACAATGACTGAGGTGGTGGCAAAAGAACTCACATTGACGATGCCGGTTGTTCAGAATACAACACACACGCTTGACTTTGCATGAATTTGATAGATGCACGCTATATAGATTCGATGCAGATGCTCAGTTCACCTCACTTGATAATCTGTTCTTTGGTGCTTTGTGCTCCACTTTCAACCTTCAAGGTTCGTGGGTGCTTTTCCGTCCATCGCCAGCAACTCCGAAAAGCTGACGCCGCCCGTGAACGGCACGCTGGACAGCTTGGCCCAGAGGAATGAAGAGCTGGGGCCCCAGACATGTCACTCTCGTGCCCGGACTGGCTAATGATGCTAATGTTTTTGGGTTTGTGGATGTTTGCGGCCTCCACCCTAGTAGCAATGGCCTCCAACCTAGTTGTGAATGCTTTTTGATCCACAAGGTTAAGCAGATACCTCTACAACGACGTCAAGGCTCGGAGAAACACTGGACGCTGATTCCTGAGGGATCTCAGCGAATGTGTCCGGAAGCACTGGATCATAATCGTGAACACATTTGACAAATCTTTTACGAACACAGATAGGATCAGATAGGTCGCTCGTTTTGTCACGAAGCCTTCCCGATCCTTGCGACTAACCGACTAACCTTTGCCGCCGGACAAAACATAACTAGTGGCAGTCGGGTGACCACGGCCTCAGTTGGTATCGTATTAGATCATATTAGATCATTTTTGCCATCATACGACAAGAAGCACAGTACTACTGGCACAACAACAATTGCTGCTGCTGCTGCTCCTCCGACTCCTACTACTACTACTGCTACTACTACTCCTACTACTACTACTCCTACTACTACTACTACTCCTACTCCTACTACTACTACTACTACCACTACTACTACTGCTGCTGCTACTACTACTACCACCACATCTACCACGTGTTTTTTTCGACAAGCTCGCGTCGCAAAGCCTGCCCATTCAAGCGCAGGTTTGCGCCAAGTGTGGCCGTCCCTGCGGAAATAACCAGAAGGCATGGACGAAGAACGAGGTTATTTGATGTTTGTTGCAAGTGTGCGTTTGTACGTTTGTCCATGTGCACATGGCACATGGCGGTGTTTGATGAGTTTGATGGTACTTGTGCACAATGCAACAAGGAATATTGAGTCGGCACATGCAAATTTGCCGATGTTTTGCATGCCATGAAGCTAAACGTCGCTATGGAATGCTATGGAGTTGTAGAATATTGTAGCTTGTTTATATCGCTGTAGCAAGTTTGCGCCGGAACCATTCAGGCTTGTCAGCAATGCGGGGCCAGCCTCGCGGATGTCCCTGTGACTCAGACCGAGAACGTTCCTTGGTGAATTTGAGAAGGCAACGGGAAGACATGCCTGAGCAACTTACAGAATTCGATGGTTCAAAATTTGAGACCTTTCTCATCCAGAACGATTTTCTTGTGTGTCGATAGGTCACAGCTGCATTATCGGTGATTGGCACCGAGGTGATGATGGGGTTCATTTTTGGGGTGGAGCGCACCCTGAAGCTGCCCTTGATGATCTCGATCAGGAGGCAGGTTGAAGTCTCGAGTCCGAAACGGGGCGGCTTTCCTTGTTGAGAAGTGCGAAAGTCATGAGGCGTCACTTATCTTTTGTATACTTTTGTTTCAATGTGTATGTAGTCTCTATATTTCTAGACCAGATAATGCATCAGAACTGTGATTGTTTGGTGGGAGATTTGAATGCTTTGGACTTTGTACACAGTCACTAAAGACTATTAATATATTTTCTTTGCACCACTGGTAGCAGAGAAACAACAGACGGTCGCAGACAAAGGAGTTAAGTCTTAAGCATGAATATCATGGAGTGCCCAGGCAATCTGATACGGTCATTGTTTTCGATGATTTGCTTGCGATGCATCTTGGCCAAGAGATGCATGCATTCCTACACATCTTAAACATGCATGATCGAGGCTTGCTCCTTAAACGACTAGCTGGAAAAGACATGAAAGGGCATTATATAACTGGTTGCAGTATACAGTATAAACGCTCATGAACCTTCCTGTATACTTACATGTGTCATGTGTGTGTGTGGACGACCTCATCTCATATCTCAGGGCCTTGTGAGAACGCTATTCAATCAATACTCTTGCACACTCACTCAATGTGGAATTCCTGTGCCGACCACTGCCACACCAATTTCGATTCAGAAACTACGATTCAGAAACCACAATTCAGAAATTCTGATTCAGAAACTACCGTTCAGAAACGATGATTCAGCAACTGTCTATCCTGCGAAGCTACGATTCCGAAACTACGATTCACAAAATACTCTCGAAACTACGTGTCAGAAACAACGTTTCAACACAACCTGAACAACAAGCCGACACCCACAGAACAAACTCAGAAACCACTATATATTTATTTTGAGGGGGGAAAGGTGGGGGGGTACTGATGTTGGCACTTCTATTTTTGTTCGAGTTGTTTGATCCACTGAATTCTACAAAAGCTCAAAGGCCCTGAAGTGTGCGCGAGAACTATTGGTAATTCAGGGTGTGGTTTCCGAATCATGGTTTCTGAATCTATCCTTGACTGTTTCTAAAGAGGTAAAGGGAGAGCTTCATGCAGGTGAACTTTGAGGAGACTTGCGGCTGACTCGTAGGAAGGCTTACAGAATTTGCAACAGCAATGGCTCCATGTGCTCAACAGGGCTCAACGGCTCAACAGATTGGAGAGTTGCTCTCAAGACGTAGCAGCGCCGGAGGTGGTTGACTCTCTTTGGACAACAAAATGCGTACGGGCTTAGGTATGCGAAGGGTTTCCATTTCAGGACGCAGGGTCTGTTTACAGGCCTGACACATCAACGCAGCACGGAAAATGAGCGACCCACAGACAGCCTTTGAGTCTTGAAAGTAATTGAACTCATTCTTACCAATAAGTCTTTGATGTTGCATCTGAAAACTAAACTCTGAAAGAGGAAGCCTGCTTGCAAAGTCTCCGGAGTTTGGTGTTTCGCACGGCTGTAGGGCCAAAAGATCCCTTTGAGGGAGTGTCAAATGCAGCCAACTGGGCAGCCTCATTGACGTCACTACAGTTCTTTATATGCCATTGCACCTTCCATCAAGTTCCTGGCAAGGAAGGTTCAACCAATCAGAAGCCGAAACGCTTGAACAACGAAGAGTGTGGAGTGGGGACCTTTTGTTTCTACGAAACTAAATGAGACCAGTATGAGACCTAGAAACCAATACCAGCTTGCATGTTACGAGCAAATGCACCGACTGCCTACCAAATTGCGATCCGCCGAGAAAGGCATTACAATTGCGACATGAAGCCAATCAGCTCGGTGTTGACCTGGGGACTCCACGGTCGGAAGCCCGCTGTCGGACTGTCGGACTCATGTGTGGAATCGCATGAACCCTTCGTCCGTTGGGTTCTTGACGTCAACCAGTTAGTGAACGGCTTCTTTGCCACCACCTCCTGACCTTCCCACCACCTCCTTGTCACCATTCGTCATGGCCCGCCTTGGCCTGCGGCTTTTTCGTGCTCCTTGGTCGTCCTGGCCCTCCTAGAGCCGGTATCATTTTGAACATGTTATTTCATGTTATTTCCCGTGTCCGCCTGTGATTGGTCCATCAGCTTGTGCAGGACCTTAACTTTTCTGGGCTGATTCAGACCACTACTACCCATTTCGCATGTTGACGACCGGCCAGAGTTGCGCTTGCAAGGCTCTTTGTAAACATCCCATGTGCGTTCCTCATGAATCAATGAATGTTCAAGGCCCTCTGCCCAAGAGCAACGTTGCTCACGCTGATTTTTGTTCTCTCACGGTTCGGGTCGGTGGCAAGAGGCCCCGACAAAAAGTAGGAGGCTGAGATGATCATACATTATGGGTGATGAGAATGATGAGTGTATTGCTGAGGTCAAGTTGCCACTTGAACGCTCTTCTGACAAGTCACTACTGCCAAGATTGGCGTTGGCTCCTACGAGACCCTGTCACCGCATCAGGCACAACGAGACGGGGGGAATGGTTCGGGTCGCAGAGCCGTGACAATCAGCACCATGCAACTAAGGTGCATCGTGGTGCATCTATTGGTCCATGGCTTTCTTGAACATTAAACAGCATGAGACAAAATATGACAAGATCATCAACATCACTTGTTGGATTTCAGTTCAATACATGGAACACGATGCAACCAATATGTTGTTCAGCTAGAATCAGAAGCCTTGGACGAGGGCCTTGTCGCCATCGACCTTTCGAAAATGAAGACCTTTTGGGGTCGAACCGTTGCTGATCATGGTGTGCTGGTTCGGCACATCCAAGCTCTCTCTGACTCTGGCTCTCTTGGAAGGTCTTTTGAACGAGATGGTGAATGAGGCCTGGCAGACGACTTTGTCCTTTTGGGCCAATGAACGGTGGAGGAAGTTTGTGTACAGAAGCCTGTCAGCAACAATGGACATGACATGATTCGAAGGAGAGAGTTTAATGTCAGTAGGGATGACAGCCATATGTTTTGGATGTCATGTGCATTCATTTGCAAATTGGTAACTTTTTTTTGGTGTAGTTGGGGCAGCATGAGTGGACAGCATGAGTTACAGTTTTCAACATCGTGGGGGCCTAGAGTCTAGAGCCAATCTGGATGTTAATTCTTTTTGTATTCATTGCATTCATTATTCGTTTGAGCTGAGTCTGTTTGTCATTCAGCTGAGTCTCTCAAAGTCCCGGTTGCAACATCTAAGGAGAAGGAGTCACACTAGAGATGGTCCGAGATAACATCATTTGAAACTTAGCTGAAATGCCGTCCCTGCGATCGAGCGGCCCAGGCTGAAAGGACCACGCAATCAACACCACTTTAACATACAATTCAGCTACTGCCACACATGCAATTCACTGAAATGTGCAGACTCGCTCGAAATTGGGGTAGTACTTATATAGATGAGTTTAGATATTTAGTTCAATGCTACAGGCAGATGTTTGTTCTTCGTTGTTTCTGCGGCGGTGGCTTTGCGTAGATTCATCTGCACTTTTCCCGTTCAATGTGTTCATTTTTCTCAGGTGGCTTCAATTCACCTCCCTCGCAGTTCCAGCCACTTGGGAAAGAATCATAATTATTTATGATTGACCACCCAACGTCACCATTGCCGGTGTTTCTGAAGTCTGTTTTAATTATTCACAGCTCGGGGCAGGTGGTTGTCCACAAAAGCCATGACATGGCATTGTGAACAATGAACACCACTGCTCTTGGATTGGGGTCCATCTTGGAGATCTGATTTGTCAAGGTTGCATTTGCAGTGGATCGTCCTGCCCTTGATGCCATTTCACCATCAGAGACTTGGTGAAATACTGAGGAGTGTTGCTTGTGGGAGCTTTGACATCCTGTACCCTTTCCAGCTTGCCAGGAAGAGCGAGAGAGAGAGAGATCATGACACAAGCCTGCTAAGCCTGCCAGGAAACTTCTAGATGGACTTCATGCACAGCAGGGGCGTTGGTTTCCACTCGAATATGCGGCTTCTCCAGCACTTGACCCCACCTCACTCTCACACCAGTCACCAAACATATCCCCATGATTAATCAATATCAATCATAGAACAATCTCTGGATGCACTTGTTCATGATGACAAGAAATCAATATCAATATCAATATCAACATCCATCCATGAGTAATCAATAATCCTAGAATTCGCACTTATTCGCCCTCAAGGATCCCAACACGGTTGGGTCCTGGCGAGGTCACGAAAATCCTGGATGTGCTCGTCAGTGAAGGGCAGACGTACGACGTGCAGGCAAGCACATCCGTCGACGAGATCATTCAGCACTTCAACTCCAAGGGCGTGCACTATGAGGAAACTCGACCCCAAATGAATGGTTCAACTGCCCACTTGCTAGGTCCTGCTAGGTCGCTAGACCTGGTGGACTCTGATCTTTGCCCCCGCCGATGCATTCGTCATTTGTGTCATCAGCCGAGGAAGTCTGGGCCGAGCGCTACCAGACATACTGCAAGAGTTACGCTCTGAGCAACTGGAAGGCACCTTCCGTTGCGCCTGGCTTTTTCGACTGAAGCAAGGTGTTTTTCGTTGTGAAGCTGTTCGCAGCATGTTCATGGAGACGGCCTGGCCACGCCGCGGGAACACCCCACCCGACAGGATTGGGGCAGGGCAGACTGGCCAGTGCCCGGCCAGTCCAACAAACAGGACAACAAAGAACACACAATCAGAACACCAAACAGCACCAGGTGGATCAGACCTGGCTTCCACCATCACGCATAGCTTCGTTGGCATGCGTTTGCATGATGGCCGCATGCCCCTTGCTCTCAAAATTCTCAATTCCGAAATTTCAACATCCGCATATCAGAGCGGCTTACACACACACAGGGCCCTCCCTACGGAGGGCTCAGACTTCAAATCTGAGAAAAGTTTTAAGGTCGGGACTACCTGTAACCAATTTGCAGTACGGCAAGACTGCGAAGCCTAGAAAGAGGGGAGTCCTCGTACCGACGGCATAGAATGGGTTCCTTGCGCCCATCACATCAAAGGCACAAACTTCGAATGTCTGAGCAGACCCCAGATCCGAGAGTGACTCAAGGTCCGGACGACCTGATTTCAATTAAGCGCCAAGCGTTCTACCTAGCTTCCTTTCTATGTGAATCCTTAGTGTCTTGATACTCAGTGTCGTCGGATTTGCCTTCTGCGTGGGGACTCACGTTCAGTCGAACCTCCTCACCTAAAGCCTGTGGAAAAGACTTCTGGCTCTCTTCTGAAGCGCTTGACTGCCGACCTCACTACCTAAGGCCTGATGGACAAACTCCTGGTTTGCTTCTGCAATGCGTGACTGCCGACCTTCGTAGCCTAAAGCCTAATCAAAAGACTTCTGGTTTGCTTCTGCGATGCCTGCCAAGAGTGGCAGCTTCTGCCGCTTTGCAGCTGCGCATGATTGCAGCTATCAAGAGTCTATCGTGTGACTGTGTCTTTGCATGATAGCAGATAGTCAACACCACTGTGGTGTGCAGGATTCAGGCATGTCTTGAGGCACGCAGCTCATCCAGGTGAGGGCCATTGACTTCTACGGGAGGGCCCGCGCCAACAATAGATTTACACGTGGGGTGTCGACGGTGTCGCCAGATCTGGCATGCGCCCTCTACACACTGGGGAATGACTTAGGAGTGTGGAGCGAGAGGATGATGGCAAAACCCAGAACCTCCTAAGTAGGTGGCCTTGAAGCTCAGAAGCACAGGTCAAAGGTGAGTTAACGACACCGTCTATCATGTCGATCATGCAGTATGATTGAAGCAAATTGACTGTAAAGAAATCAGCAGCAAGGAATCAAGGAAGATTGGGGTATTTTCACTCAGCAGGTACAGGTGGATCAGACCCGGCTTCCGCCATCACGCATAGATTCGTTGGCATGCGTTTGCGTGATGGCCGCGTGCCCCCTGCTCTCAAAATTCTCAATTCCGAAATTTCAACATCCGCGTGTTAGAGCGGCTTACACACACACACACACTTGTGCCCCTGAAAGTTGACATAATCATTCAGAGTGAACAGATACTTTTTCAACACGTTTCAATGACGATTATTTACCTGGATGTGTGAGGCGGTGTAATCTCACATCATATGTATATATAACATAGTATAAACATATAATATATATTATACATTGGTTATATATATATATATACATAATTGCGGGCGCTTCTTGCAGCCACAATGGAGAGCGGAGCAATTGAAAGCGTACAAAAACATACGAGATCTGCATTGCTACCATGATCGCAACTACAGGTGCCCTGTGAAACCACAAGGAAAGTTGGAGTCGTTGAAAGCACCCTGCTGGCGCACCACACAGGTTATTATAGGCGGCAAAATGCAGCGAAGTACAACGAACAAAATCAGGTGCATGTTTAAGCGAATTTGCTCTGTGATTGCACAGGGGTCCCTCCAGTGGCCCGACATGACAGCAGACAACTAACATAGCCATAACTCCTGACAACACACACACACACACGTATGGATATGCGTACTGATTTGACAGCGGTGCCACACGCCAGCCTAAGTTATTTAGAAGGCCTGAGATGTCAGGAAATAGTAGGTCATCGGTTTTGGGTTGGAGGTCAATGCAGGGCTGTTGAGGGCCAAGACCTAAGGTTGGAGGCCATCACTGGTAGGCGGTGGACCATAGACACAAAGTGACAGCAAGAAGCAAAGTTGGAGGCACTCGCTAGTGGGTAGAGGCCAGGGTACCAAGTTGGCCAGTGCTACAAGGTTACAAAAAGCACAAAAGTGCAAGAAGCACAAGACAGCAAGGTTGGGGGCCAATCTAGTGGGTGGAGGCCAAAGTTCAGGTTAGAGAACCCCTTACAAAGTTGGGAGGCCTACCTGCAAACCTGTAGAGTAGTCTAGAGGATAACAGAAGGAAAGGCACGGACACACAAGTGTGTCGAGTACCATTTCCTCCTGTTCTCCTAAATAGTGGAACAGGTACAGGTGGATGATCAGTCCACCCATCCCTCGTCATACCGTAGCTTCATTGCGTACGGTGGGTATGACGAGCCGTACGCCCCTGTTCCAAACCTAAAGGTTCCCTTTGATTCCAAGGGTTACGCACACACACGCCTCCCCGAAGGGAGGCATGTGTGGCCTCCATCCTGCCCGGAAAGGAGGCAAGGCACATGTGCACGCAAAAGGGACAGATGAAAATGAAAAGGACGAGACAGACAAAGGTGTGTGTGGTTGTCGATGAAGAAGAACCAAGTGAAGAGGGACAACCGATGAACCAAACCTCATTGTAACGAACCTGGGCCACCTGAACCTCGTTGTAAGTAGAGTACGCGTGCGTGTACGTGTACAAACTAAGGTCCGGACGATAGCGCGCGCAAGAGAAAGAAAGGATGAGGATGAAGAGACATGAAGACAGAAGGACATGAAAGAAAAGAAGGGAAGACGTCTGTGGGGGCGGATGAAAGGGAAACCAAATGAAAGGGGACAAACCGATGACAGTCCAAACCTCATTGAGAAACTTGTTGCAGAAAGCCTATTTTGCTTGTAAATACGCCGCGCGCGAGGAAAGAGGGGGGAGGGGAGGAGGAAAAGAGAAGGAGGGAGAGAAGGAAGCAAAGGTGTTCCCAGCTACGGCGCAAGCGTCCAAGGACACACCAAAAAGGAAGGGCTCCCAGCTATGACGAAAGCATCCAGGGACACCCAAGGAAGAGGGTGAAGAGAGGAAAGAGAGAAGGAAAGAAAGAGAGAGGGAGAGAAAGGGAGGAGAGAAAGGAAGGTGTTCCCAGCTACGAACAATCGTCCAGGGACACACCAAAGAAAGAAAGGGGAGATCCAGAAAGCAAAGAAAGAAAGGGGGAGGAGGGGGACTAAGTGCTCGACAGGCTCCAATGAACCTTGAACAAACTTCGGTCGCTGCGACCACGTACGGCATGCCCGAGGGCGGCCACCTCTGACCGCTGCGGTCACGTAAAGGCATAAGCCAACTTGGAATTCCAAAAATGAGACAAAAGTCTGAGTTCTGGTGGCGTGAGCCAACTACTGTCCGCTGGGGACACGTACATCTCCAGGCAGGGCACACGTATGGACATGCGTACTGACTTGACAGCGGTGCCACACGCCAGCCTAAGTTATTTAGAAGGCCTGAGATGTCAGGAAATAGTAGGTCATCGGTTTTGGGTTGGAGGTCAATGCAGGGCTGTTGAGGGCCAAGACCTAAGGTTGGAGGCCATCGCTAGTAGGCGGTGGACCATAGACACAAAGTGACAGCAAGAAGCAAAGTTGAAGGTCATCGCTAGTGGGTGGAGGCCAGGGTACTCCTACTCCTACTCCTACTCTACTACTACTACTCCTGCTGCTGCTGCTGCTACCTACTACTAGGACGACGACGACGACGAGGACCAAGTTGGAGGCCAGTGCTACAAGGTTACAAAAGCACAAGAAAAAACAAGACGGCCAAAGTTGGAGGTCCTCGCTAGTGGGTAGACGCCAGGGTACCAAGTTGGAGGCCAGTGCTACAAGGATACAAACAGCACAAAAACACAAGAAGCGCAAGACAGCAAGGTTGGGGGCCAATCTAGTGGGTGGAGGACAAAGTTCAGGTTAGAGAACCCCTTACAAAGTTGGGAGGCCTACCTGCAAACCTGTAGAGTAGTCTAGAGGAAAACAGAAGGAAAGGCACCGACACACAAGTGTGTCGAGTACCATTTCCTCTTGTTTTCCTAAATAGTGGAACAGGTACAGGTGGATGATCAGTCCACCCATCCCTCGTCATACCGTAGCTTCATTGCGTACGGTGGGTATGACGAGCCGTACGCCCCTGTTCCAAACCTAAAGGTTTGCTTTAACTCCAAGGGTTACACACACAAACTACAACAGACGGCAAGCAATGCACACACACACACAGCGGCAACACCAAGCATATCCACATCACATGTCATTGTACTTGACAACATGCCAGAACAAGCGCAACAGCAGGACAACAAACATTATGACAACACCACCTAACGTAACCACAGCACACCCGTGGCCCAGGGATGCCAATCGCCCCAACCCGGCTATCCTACCAGTGTACCTAGGCGGTTTGTTTATTTATGGTTCCATTTATGGGCGGTTTGTGTAAAGTAAATGTTTGTCATTGAAATTATGATTGTCCACAAGCGGTGGCTGCATGAAATATTCGGGATTTGTGTTCGCTTCACATCGCTTTTCAACATTTGCTTGTGTTCTTGTGGCCGTAGGTGGAGGACTTCAAATATGTGGTCTTCCAGGGACAGGTGCACGAAATTCAGGCGCAACATGCTGCTCAGCAGTCACAAAACAGATTCATTATGTTTGGCTGTTGAAGATTGATAGGATGCATATCTGAAGAGCCCTTGAAACCTTAAATTCCAGCAGCATGGCACAGTTTTTCATACGTTACAACCAGCGAATGTGCTCTCGCCAGGAGGCCTTGCCGGACGGCAGGGTGTGTTTGGGCGAAAAGCTCAACATCAATCCCGTCACATAGCACCAATTTAGACACCAAGGTTCCCTTTGCAGCTGGATGCAGTGAAGCATATATAAGTCCTGAGTGAAGGTGCATCCAAGATCATCCAAGTAATTATATATATATATATAATATACAATGATTTGGCATGAAGAAAGAGAGAGAGACTCGATTTGACCAATACAGTGTTAAACTGTTGTGAAACATATAAGACATTCGTTGTGCGTTCTTTGCAAAAAAATGTTTGGCACACACACACATTTTGTGGTTCGGCATTCAGGTGAGCCTCCATCATGAGGACAAGCTCCTTTTGCAAAACTACGGCCGCCGCATCGATCATGATTGTCCTGGTGGCACGTCGCCTGGGCTTTGAATGACCCCCCATTTGGAGTAGAAAGCACACTTGCCGTGAGGCAGCGGCACATAATAGATATCACATAATTACAAGTTGGCCAAGTTGGCCTCAGTTGTTTTGTCACTCGGTCAAGTAGAGGCAGCTTTCAATTTTTGACACCATATGCGCTGTCCCACAGAGGTGCTGCAGTGCTTTTCGGCTGTAGCCGGCATCGCATCGTAGACTGAGGTACTATAAACATCACAAAGCTCTGAAGATTGGCGATGGTGGCATCAGAATTTGGCCTGGGCTTGAACGTTAAGCCCTGACCATTCGCTGCACCAGTTTGCCTTAGCAAAAAGTTAATTTGAAACAGTCACCCTTACTTCATCACTCTTTCTAGCTCGGCTTCCAAGGAAAACTTCGCAGAAGTGCAACCTTTCATGAACTTTCACGAGCGCACACGCTCGCTTCTGGAGCGCCCAGCGGTCTCTCCAGGGCTCCCCAATAGCCCCAGGTAATCCTCGGCATGCCCAGAGCAGCTTAGAGATGGCCCGTCAAGCCCGCCTGTGGTGAGTTGTAGGCTTCAGAGTGGGTTGGAGGGCCACACGGGGCAGGGCAGCTCGGTGCCGAACGTTCCACCACAAAGTAACAGCGTCAGTGAATAGAAAAAGAGTCCGTATTGTTTGGTTTGGGTGAATAAGCACAAGTATAAGTGTATATATATATATAATCATACATACTTGCAATATAGATAGCTATATATAGGTTACTCTACATATATATATAGTTATATAAGTTACATTCATGGCTTGGTTTGCACCCAATCCCATACTGCAGTTCAGGACGGTGGTACTTTTTTATGCTGAAGCATGTCCTGTGCCCGGCCTCGCCTTCGGGCTTTGGGTTTTTAAGCGGTGAGCCCTGCGTTGAAGATCAGCCGTCACTGGCACAACTTTCCGGGGGTGTCAGCTGTTGGTTCTTTGGGGCGCTCCTGCTGTGAGAGGCCTTGTAAAGCGCTGGTCCCTCACAGCAATGTACGTGTATATAGACATGTCTCAGCTCGAGGTGCTGAGTAATTATTGAGTATCACACCATCAGGTCATTCACAAACACAGTGAGAGGTACCCAAAAGATCAGATCCAAGTAAGCCTACAAAACTCTTAAAGGCTGCTGCAATTTGGCAGTTCTTGTACAATGGGTTTCCGCTTGCGCACTGTACTAGTTGAAGACCTCGCTTATGCATTGGTTCAGGAGGTTTCCTGCAGTCAGGTTGAAGTATACATAAGCAAAACAACATAGTGTTGTTTTGACATGTTTATTTTTTTTTGGTGTTGACTCAGTGATAACTGTTGACCAACAAACTTGGTCCAAGAGGAGCAACTTGTGCATTCCTTTCACAGGAATCGATTTCAAAGACTTCGGCCCGATGGATGACCCTCGATGGATGCCAGACATCCCGCACGAAGATAGCGCGACAGGGATGTCGGGTGCGACATTGGGCGAGCGTCCGCACCGTGCACCCATCTAGGCCAGCAAGAAGCTAACACGGTACAGAATCATTCAAGACATTCTTGACCCACCAAAATGCTTGGAACCCGAGTGCAGTTGAGCTATGTCATTGTCCGTGTTTTGGAGATGTTTGGGTGACACATGGTGACACGTAGGGACACCGTGCATTTACAGCATTTAGATATCGTTCCCGTGTACCTTGAACTCTAGCTGACAATCTCAACATGGTGCAGTCAGTGCAGCCCACTGCCGTCTATCACCGGCCACGACGATGTCACACGATGGAAAAAGAAGGAACGACGTCGCCGTGGGCAGTGTGTGAGCGACAAAGCTAGATCTCCCTGGGTTTGGTCATGGTTTGGCTAGAATCTTGCGACAAAGCTGATCTCGGTGAAGCTTTCTATACTTGTTTAATCTTGTTTAATCTTGCTGCACTTGCTGTGCCGAATAGAACCTAATTGTGCCGAAATTCTTAGGAACCAGTGGAAAGCTTTGAGCAGGACAAGCCAGCTCATGAAGTCCGTAAGCTCCTTTCTTGACTGAATGCCTTTCCTCTTGTCGGGCACAGTCACATACATGTTCCTTTGAAGGTGTCCCATTGTGCAGAGATGAGGCTCGGGGAGTTGGGTGCTCAGCACGGAAGTTCATCGCGCACGGCTTCCGTGGTGCGCCGCAAGCGGCAAGAATTCATTCAAAAACAGTCCAGTTAGTCTCAACCACTCGCTAAAGAATATAGAGTGTAGCCATTTCTGAGCAGTTTAGCTCAGAGAATTCATTTGAGCTTACGATTCTGGTTTTGGAAGACACGATTCTTGGAAGACTCAAGCTGCACCACCTTTCGCAGTTTGTGGATCAGCTATCAATGCGGCAATTCATTGGCGGTGCACGGCTCCAAATGGGTCACAGATTGAGAAGAAGAGAATGCCCGTGGAAGAAGTGCCACTCCAAGAAAGAACTGTCAAGGACTATCCTACAATTGTTGCGATGGCACAATCTACAATGTGTTTTGGGTGCCTTGAGCCCACGACATTTGATGGGGTCACCATATTCGCGGGGTCACCATGAACAACAGAGCTTCGTGCGCAGGCACTCCCCTGCAGAATTTGTTGCGCAGCCTTTTTCATGGCACGCCGTGTGGTGGTATGGCTTCGCAATGATTTGCGCTTGCATGACAATGAGCCTTGCTCCTATGCCCCGACGAAAGACATCTACAGTGGATCAGTAGAGGGGCCCCGCCGCTGTGGCCTCTTAACTGTTGTGGCCGCTGTTCCGGCTACAACAGTTAGATGTCATGGTCAGAAAATCAATGAAAAGCACGTATTTGAAAAGAATACATACTTACAGTAGTGCACCAGTTTGTGATCGGATACCACGTCTCAGCTTTCATGCTGCCCATTTATTGGCTCAAACCTTGGCCTGGAGTTATGTGTGGTTCGTATTTATGTACATAGTATGACCATATAGCAATATACACATAAAATAATGTGTATATATATATATATATCGATATGTGTATTACTATATATACATAATATACACACTATATGTACATATGTTCAACAATCTACCACGTCATGAGGCGCGGCCTGCATTTGGTGGTTTGTTGTATCTATAATACCAAAAACCTTACCTGGCCTATTTATGACTCGTAGTCTCGTATTGCCTATGTGCGTTGGACCCAATCATGACAATAATTTCCCCTATGACCTCCATGTGCACAGCTGTTGGATATACTGTATGTGACGTATGTGTGATGGGTAAGAACCGGTAAGAACAGAGATCAGAGAGGGTAAGGTCATAAAATCATTGCCGCTGCCGCTGGTCAATGGATTTGGTTCCAGCAGTTGGTGACTGGATTGAGGTGCGATGGCCTTGCCAGTCAGACAGTGCAGACGCGTCCAGTGCTAGCATCGACCCAGAATCTGCAGATGCTTGGCTGTGGTTCAAAGCCCTGATCGTTCAGGGAGGCCGTAAATTCTTACTTCGCTTTGAAGATGGTGGGGAGGCTTGGAACTCCTTGCGGAAGTTGCAATGGAGGTCACTGAAGGCTTCTTCCCCGGCCCTGCGAGAGAGAGAAGAATCGCCGGATGAGACGGTGATGGACCAGACGGGTTTTGTTCACAGCTTTGAAATCGAGGAGGAGTTTCTGCGATTTTGCGACAGTTTGCACATGCGTCGAGAAGAGTTAGGGGACAAGTCACGTGGCGATGCCGCGTATGGTGAAGCTTTGAGTGGAGGCCTCGTTTCTGTACTGATCCGTCGGGAGGCTTTACCGGAGGGGGAGCGTGATGTCTATAATCGCTTGCACCAACGATGCATTCAAGAGGTTCCTCTTGCTTGGCCCGGATGGATACAACGTGCAGCTGGGAAGTCTGGCCGTGCCAGGCAGGGATCAAGGATATGTTTGACATGTTTGACTTGGGCCCTTGACAGAAAGTGAAGAAACACAATGACAGACATGTGAACATGTGAGCAACGGCTTTTATTTGCGGTAGTGAAGATTAGTCTAGGGGCGTTCCTTTTCTATAACCCAATGTCACATTTAGTTGGCGAAACGAGGTAGGAACACCCCGAGAACGAGATGGGCATCAAATGCGCCATTTGTTTGAAATGGTTTGGTTAACGGCATGCTTAGCTTGTGAAACAAGGTAGGAACACCTCTCGAGAACGAGATTGGTATCCACACACCAAAACGAGATACAGGAATGGAGAACGAGATCACACACCAAAAACGATGCGGGATTGGAGAAACGAGGTAAGGAAGGTCCATGTGATATATAGTTTAACATAGATTCCATTGCTCATGTGTGAACAGTGCTTGCTACATGTTATATATATATATATACCGTACTACAGTAATTATAACATGTATGTGCACACTAAACATGTATAGATATGTATAGATAGTATTATTGAAATAGCTTGTACGTCAATGTGCTGATCATTTCTCAATTCAAGTCGCCTTCACTCATGCTTGACAATGTCCTTGGCCAGGCCTTCTCAGGATCTTCGTGTTCTACAGTACTTCGAAAAGGCCAATTTCAAGGCACATGTCGACAGTGGCTGGGCATGTCAAGCGCTCATCTATCTCAATGAGGATTTCCAGGGCGGTTATACCGAGTTTCCCAACCTCGGCGCTCGCTACCGACCCCGACGAGGTCGTGTGCTCTTGTGGCGCTCCATTTGCGTTGGCTTCAAGGCAGCAGTTCCGGGAAGTCTTGAAGATCATCCTGCTCGACATGTGGCATGCGAAGTGTTTGGAGGGGTCAAACGTGTGGTAAGTCTTCATTTAGTGTTGGCCTAGCTGCCTAGCCTTGTGAAGCTATGTGAGGCGCCTTGGGAAGCCATGCAGGCCAAAGGAAGCGTGCAGCTCAGCCCCAAAATGGGCTGGGGCTGCCCTCCTCCCGCGCACTCCTGGGCAAAAAGGATATTGGGTGAAGTTAATCAATTGGCTCCCCTGACCAAGTCCAGATCGCTCAGAGAACTTCCCGAACTGTATTGAAATCTAATGAAGCTTCTTCGACTAAAGACATTTAATTAAGACTACATCGTCAAACCCAGATCTTCGAGTCTTAGAGGTCTTGTAGTGTGAGGCTGCTGGAACATAGGTCTAGTGCTCAACCACTGGGGACTAAGAAAGCCTCCTAAGCATTTGCCACAAATTGGACGTGCAAATGCTCTCAGGAGGCATTCTGTGCTGCAGCAATGCAGGGTGCTGCTGAGCTAATCGTGGTGCACCTCAGTTGCACTGGGGTGTTGAGGCCTTCTTGGGGGATCATCATGAGCCTCATGACTGGCCTCCGGCGACGTTGATAGATTTGTTCGGCCATATGTGTTAAGACCATTCTCCCCCAACGTGTAGCATGTTTGCCACTATCGATACGTAGGTACTGCCTCGATCCTCGTCATTATCAAGAAAGCCCTTGGGGAAGCCACAAGCGCTGTGGCGCCCACAGGTGCGTCATCGAGGTGTGCGTGGTCAGGTTTTTGGGTGTGACCTGCTTTCCACATTTGAATTGTATATCTCTATATAATTAACTGTATAGCCGTTTGAAGCCCTTAGTTGGAATTGTGGCAACAGCCCACAAGTTGTTTCCCTTCGGAAAGAGCGTGAGTCGCAAGGAGCCAGCTCATTGCAGAGTCCTTGGAGGCGCAATTGTTTGGTCCCGTTGAATGTGCATATGGAGCATTATCTTGCCAACAATATTTTGACCACCCAAGGTGTACAAGTTTTGCATGCACTACTTCAGGTGTATGCATGTGAAGTCATGTTGGACGCTGTTTTTTGGTTGGGTTGCACTCTGTGGCCCCTACGTTGTGGGCCCGTGGGGATGCCAGGCCTTGTCTCTTTCTTTGTGCAAGATCGGCTCTAAGCTTTACGTGGCTCCAGGCGCCCCAGAAGAGGCACATCTGATTTGTTTTGTTTACTGTATAAGTTTGTTCCTCTCGTTGCTTGGTGAGAGATTCTAGCCTTTTGCGATCTTTGCAGCTTAGAGAGGGGCCATGAATATGGCCTTGAGAGCTTAACTTCCACATGGATCACAGGGGCAGCCGTTTATGAATATTATATAGTGGATTCCTTGGCAGAAGTTCTCTCCCTGTGAGGTGCTGCCAGGACTTCTATCTCCAGGTTCGCTGCTGATATACCAGGCAGCACGTCGGCATAGTGGCATGCCACGGAGTAATTACTTCACAATGCAATTTCTGACACATGAGCCTAATGATTTCAACTCCTCTTAGCCAATAGGACGATCTTTTTTCACTGTCCTAGTGGATAAGTAAATCAGCGCTATGTCACTGAGGGTTCAAGTCAGCAGTTGAGGCCGAGGACACCCACGATGAGCAGCAAGTTGAGGAGGCAAGAGGACTCGTCAAGAGTTATCAACTGCGGGTCGCAATGAAACAACGACACATGAATCCACATGAACACTAATCACTTTTGGGGCTTTTTTTTCCAAATGCTTCTTGCGTATCGTCTACGGCATTTGTCAACAGTGTCTATATGAAGAGCTCCGCCAAACAAAGCAATTCCTTTTGCTGAGTCGAGTTTGGCAAGGAAATCAGGAGGACATCAAAAAGATATCCTTTTCTGTAGGTTGTTCTTCGCACTCTTCCTGTGCTGAGCAGGAGGAATTTCGAATGAAATCAATAGTTCAGTGGTGAAACTGTTTTGCAACTGGAATAGCTTATTCATAGCAATTTGACCCCCTAAACAAATCACATAAAGCAATTCCAGGGCGCCTGTAGAACACTCGTTTGATTTTTTTCCAGTTCAATGTATGGTCAAATTATGTCAATGTTTTTCAACTGTTGGAAATGTTGAAGGATCAGTGCTTGAAATGCCTATCTTCCTTTTGGCCTTTTGGTGCTTTGCAATGCCGACTGTACCATACTGTGCCCATTCATGCTGACCAGTGGCTTGCACTGACTGACTGGCATCGGTCAGCCTTCTTACCACATTTTCGAAATCAAGGGACGCCTTTTTTTCCAATGAACTGCTTGAAACACGTTGGTGCAACGTAGGTGCCAGGAAGCATCATGTTTTTGTTTTACTATTTTGGAATTCGTTGCTAGGGCTGCACTTTATTGTCCCGTGTGCCATTGGAAAGCGGCATTCGTTGGGCCCGCCATGCTACGCCCTTCCAGGCTGTCACTTCAGCTTTGAGTCCAGGAGTCGACGTGAAATATCACTTCGGCAACCAGGCTTTGCATTTACTTGTGCTGGTGGAATGTACATACGGTTTGCAAACGGGCTGTTTGGGGGCTGGATTTTCAGATGGCCTTGGGGTTGAGGTTCGCATTTGGGCAGTTGGGCTTGCATCCGATGGTCATTCACAAAAGGTCTCGCAGTTTTGCAAAAAACTGCTCCATGCAGGGTTGAGTTGCCCATATTTTCTACTAGTAAGGCACCTGTTACTACTAGCGATGCACTTGTTTCTAATAGCTTCTTGTTACTACTAGTAAGGCACCTGTTACTACTAGTAAGGCACCTGTTACTACTAGTAAGGCACCTGTTACTACTAGTAAGGCACCTGTTACTACTAGTAAGGCACCTGTTGACTCATATACCGGAGAAATCGGACAGTTGCACAGTTGCAAGCAGAGTTTGCTCACTTCGAGCATTGCTGCATGCACCTTGACCGACGTAACTTCGGTTAAAGATGGTTTGAGCTTGTGCTATCACGTTCGTGGCCGCTTGAATTCAATGCCTATAATTATGAATCTGAATATGATTGAATATGTACATGCATATGGAAAAGTTTGGTGGCACAGGCACAAGAATGTAAAACATGGTATAACTGCAGCTCCCCTGTATTTATAGACCTTCTGTCGCTGCGCAAGTTAGGCCAGACCTTGCATCACCGAGATGATTTGGGTTTTGAACCTTGGCAGCATACGGCGGCTGGAAAGGCATTAGGGAAGGCAGGCGAAGTGTTGCTTTGCTCTAGACATGCGCCCACATGCGCCCACCCATTTCAGGACCTTAAAGCATGGCTGCCACTGCCCTTCGGAAAGTTCTACCACGAGACATGTGGCCAAGTGCGGCCCAGATGCGAACTCAGAACACCAGGCCCATTGGAGAAACAGCCAAAGATCGCAACAGATTCAGCCTTTTAGAGCCCCAAAGTGAGCAGGTCAGCTCAACTACTGTACGCATGTCAGCTCAATTACACATGCACCATCATTGAGATGGTCAAGTGCGTGGGAGATACATCAAAGTGATTGCACGTCATCACTGGTGATTCTTGAATGTTGGCAGGCAAAGGCGATTTGCCGCCACCACCTGCAGATGACGACATAGCAGGGGTAGCTGCACCTTTCTTGGACGTTAGTTTGTCATGCCTTTGGAGTGTCATTTGCTTGTCACAAGTGCAGAACAATGCCCCAAAAGCATGATCTAGTGCAATTAGAAGCTTTGTGTGCTTGTGTTTGGGGGTCGCTACCCTCATGTTTCTTTGTGTACTAAGCCTAGTGTAATGGCTAGAATCGTGGCTGTTTGTGTACTAAGCCTAGTGTAATGGCCAAAATCGTGGCTCCTGCCAGTCGAAGCCATATCAATGCTACAGGATCGACCTGTTTCTCTCGCGAGGTAGTGTCACCACAAGCTACCACTTTGCTGGAAGCCATGGGCACCGCGACTTGGTTGCACTGGGATTTGAGTGTTTGGACTTTGCATCGGTTCGAGAGTACGGAGAGACAACCAGCTCGGATTGGAGCTGTGTTTGAGGGCTTCCTGTGACACTCATTAAAGCTGTCAACCCGTCAGGCAACTTTTTGGAGCCCTAGTGAGGTATTAATTACAGTAGTTATTAGTTATTTGATATATTTGTTTAGTTTGGGCACCCGTTGCAGGAGCCTGTGCTATCCAGTGGAGACTTTCACTGGAAAGGTGGAGAGGATGCAGCCCTTCAACAGCTTGAAGCTTATTGCACCAGAGGAGGCTAGCTGACCACTGCTGATCAACCTGTAAATCTTGATGTAGTGGCTTTGGTCAGTCATGAGTTTCTGGCCATGTGTCGCGGCTTTGACACCTTTCCGCCCTCCACGTGGACCTGCAGGACTCGGGAGCTATCAACGTACTCGCAACCAACTCCATGTGAACTGCAGTAGCCGCCTTTCACCTTGGATGGCCATTGGTTGTTTATCACCACGCACCGTGTTTTGGCGAGCTGAGAGGTGTCACGGCTGACCTAGTTGGCGCATGTTGGCACAAGAGGCAGCCACTGCAGGGACTTTTGAAGGCAACTGTTTTTCTCAGACCTGAGTGTTCTCGCTGCACTACCAATTTTTGCTCCTCAGACCACTGGTCATTCTTATTATGCTCAGGTTCGAGCGTGAGCATGGTAAGGACCAGGGACTTAGCAAGAATAAGACAACAAAAGAAGAATAATTCGCACTAGTTGTGTATGTTGTGGATTGCAGTTGTACGGCCTTGCGGTCCGTGGCTTCTTTCGGATTCGCAGATTCCCTGAAAGGATCGCGGCTTCGATCATGTGTCTTGGCTTCACCGCGACCTGCATGTGCAAAGCTCCTGCTGGTTTTTGACGACTCAGCGATGTCAGACTCAACCTCCTGAGGTTCAGAAGTTCATGTTTCAACTCTGCTGGCGTGATTATTTTCACTTTTATTGAGCCTCGGCAGGGTAAAAGCATTGTTCCCTACTTGTTCCCTTTGAAGCTCCCTATGTCATATCTTGCGTTGGATTGTATGAGGCATTCCTTTTTGTTCCATTTTGTTCCGCTCCCTCGTAAGACCAAGGTGCTCATTTCGGTCGCTTGGTCTTCTTCCCCTCCGGTCCAGCAAGGCGCCAGAGGCCCTGGAAGCGAGATGCAGAACTGGAGACTAGATGGAAGACTGGCAGGAGAGGATCTTCACTCCGTTTGATATGATTTTTGCTGTTCTTTCAGCATTGCAAACCTTGGGAAGCCAGGTTGCAGTACTGGTATGTTTCTTAAATATAATCTACTAAAGGAATGTCTTCTAGAAGAGTACGACCTTTTCTATGATAAATTCACCTTGAACTGGCTGCATAGCTAACAGCCAATGAACCACATGTTTTGTCTCTGACAGGACTGGAGTGCCACTGGTTGATGCATTGATGCGTGAGCTGGCAGCCACTGGGTTCATGGCCAATCGAGGCCGTTGCTTGGGCAGATTCAGGGCCTTGGGAATGCCAATGTTTGACATTATTTGACGTTTTGTTTATAAGTGTTTTTATGTGATTTTTAGGTACTGCACATGGTCATATATGGTAAGATAGTCCCGGCTTTTCTGGTCTCAGGTGTCCTGAACTATAGACTCTAGACTCTAGATGATGTGGGGCCGAGTCATTTGCAACAGTAGGTCATATTGACTTCTTGACGAACTTGAATCACGTGTCCCCAGGCTACATCGCCGCGTCATACTTGGTATTCTACCTGAACATTGACTGGCGTGTGGGGGCCGACTGGTTCGAAAGCCTCCTCTTGGACCATGACGTGTGTTCCTCACCCAAAGTTAGCTCCATGAGAAATTAGTGACTGCAGAGAATCCAACTGCACACGTGCAGAGAGAGGTGGTTGAAGCTCACTACACATGTTTCGATATTTGAGGCTCCAACTATGGCTCGGCACTCAGTGTTTGTCGTACCTTCCAGCCAAACACATGGATCGCATGAACCTTCCAGGTGAGTGGGCCTCCATGGCCAATGTGGCCGTTGACTTGGGGGACTGGAGGGCTGATGGGTGTTGATCCCGTGGCTTTTCAGCCCACGGGATCCCATGGGCTGAGGTGTTTTGTGTGCTTTTTGAGCCCCAAATAGTAGCCTCCTTGCTCCTAGTAGCGATGCCGGGAGCCCCTAGTGGCGTCCTTGCGATGCAATTGGACGAATCTACCTATGTCACAGTTACTGTAGTTGACCCTCTTGCTTTAAGATGTAGCAGCATGTAGCAGCGGTGATTAGCATAAAATGATCTTATATGAACCAACGTCGGTCATCACGGGCCACCCGTTGTAGGAGAAATATCCTTTGGGCCTCAAGGGCCGCGGCCCCACTGGTGGACGCAAGCCCGGCGCCAGAGGCGGTGGTGGTGATCCATGGGCAAAAGGAGTGCCTAGGGCCAAACAAGCCAATATAAAGACTTGGACATCGAAACTTGGACACTGACACTGAAGAGGATCGACATGAATGACATCGATCGACTATTGAATATTGAAACTTTTGAGATGTGGTTGGCCTCAGCGGGACCCATCATGACCCATCATGATTGCCTCGAGTGATGCTGTTGGGTGAAGGGACCAAGATCTGAAGCTGCAACCAAGCTGAGCTAAGGTCAAGAAGCTAGTAGAAACAAGTGCCATGCTAGTAGTAACAGGTGCCTTACTAGTAGTAACGAGGTTCGCTATTAGGAACAAGTGCCACGCTACTAGGAACAAGTGCCTTACTAGTAGTAACAAGAAGCTACTAAAGACTGTTTTTCGTACCTCGATTGCTAAGGTCAACATCGGTGATGCAATTTTCGACCCCTTTGAGCAGGCACATTGCTACAGAAACGTTCTTTGGTGCGAGACCATGGCAGCCAAATCAGCCCTATGCATGTACGTGTTTTGTTCAAGCTTGGAAAATCTTGGAGATTGCGGTTGGCTTTTCCTGAGAACTCAAGACATTTTTGGAGGGCATGGGCATTTTTGGGTTAGATGCTGCCAGAGAGAGAGAGGATCAAATCGATCTATATGGTGATCTAAATAAACTCAATGAGGTAAAATGAGGTTGTTTGCTTCATGGTGTTCAAATTTTCTTCGTTGAGTGGCATGGGAATAATGGCTGCCGCACTTCAATTCTTTGGGAGCTTGTGAATAATATATGTGAATATTTGTGAATCAGTGCTCCAACAGGGGTGCTGTTGCGTCCAGCTCCGACTGGGACTCTGTTCAGCATGACAACATGTCGACCGCCTTCATCCCTAAGGCGCAGCACTACGATCGTGATGAATCCTATGTGCGGCGCTGGCTGCCTGAACTTCATGGACATCCTGCTGGCTCTATCCATACAGGAGGACGTATTGATTGACACGAGATTGCATCGCCGCCGAAATCATGTTATGTCAATCAGATACCAAAACCATACAAAAGCCTACTTGTTAGCCAGTGATCTCACACACACAACTGACTATTTTTAGAATTTATGATTCTTTTGCATTTTTTGCAGTCACCTTTTTGTGTTGTTTAACAGATACATTGGACAGCTACAATGCAGTTGTTTTGAATTTTCCCCATCTTCATTGATGTCAGTTTGTGCGTTATGCGTTTACAGATCTTTAAATAAATTAGTTCAGCCTGTGTTCGATTTTTGTACATTGAATACCAGAGTCGTTTGTGTTTAAATGTTCTTGTTTTACACAATGAAGGGTCAGAGAATGTCGAAGAAAGTATGTTGACGCCGCGGAGGCGCTGTGAGGGGCCACATCGCTCCACTTGCCACAGAGCCGCTGCAGCTTGGCCGGCGCAAGCTTGGAGTGTGGCAGGCGGCTTTCAACAAAACACTAATCAGGCCATTGGCCATTATGTTTTCGCATCCTTTGCAGGGTGCTTACTGGCTGCCCTTTGCAGGCAAAGCCACAGGTAGCTGCAGGGCGATGGCAGCTGCAGCAGGACAAGGAGAAACAAAGAGATTTGGAGACTTGTTTGAGGGCAAATCTGTGGACTAAGTCTAAGTCTTGCTTTGTGACGGAGGTGCAAGGGAAATCGTTGAACATATCGTGGTTTTGCTGTCAGTTGATTCTGCTGGACATTGCTGGCTGCTGGAGCCTCAATCTCGTGCTTTTGAAAGGCTGCATCTTCGCCACGCCAGTGTGACCAGGTGTGCCTATGGGTGGATCACGTGCCGAATATCCAGCATGGCGTGACTTCAATAATTTTTGACTTTTTAAAAGTCCAGATTGATCAGAAGGATTCTTAGGCACCTGAATGATCCTAAATGTCAATCCTAAATGTAACATACGGAGCTGTTGCACGAGCATCCTTGAAGAAGTCTTCACATGTCGTCACCAATATTGAAAACAGCTATGTAATTCTAGCAACGGATCGAATTAACAGGTACATGTTTTAGGGTTCTTGGGGCAGGGCCACATGGTTCATACTTTATTCTTGGCATTGATTTTGAGGGGAAAGGGTGTGTTTGTATAGTTTGGAACTTTCAAGAACAGCCTTGTCCTGGTGGTGTGTGGCTCAATTGCTGCCAGGAATATCGCCCACAACGCCGTTGGCAGGCCAAGGCCTTAAGGACGCCACTACCAGAGAGGTTGCATGGCTGGACAAGAGCTGAGCTGCAAGGTGCCGGTGTCGCCACCACTATATAAATATAAGCTGGAAACTTTGACCACAGTGCTTGACATTGAGAAATACAAAAGTGCAATCGACCTCGTTGGTGTGCCATCTCCCAGCTTCAGAGTCAACCAGGTGACGACATGTTTGCAGCTTTATCAAGGGTCGTTTTGTGTTTGGCTTGAATTCGAGGATCATTGGAGCATGAAAGATATTATTGGAAGAGCAGCGGAGCCTGGCCGAGCAAGCTTGATGGTCGTGCATAGCATCTATCATTGGTGCAACATGGTGCAACATGGTGCAACTATATCAGGCCCGCACAGGGCCAGAAACCCTTGTAAGCCATAGCTGTCCATCGAATTCTTCGACATTCACCACCAATTGTTTTGCCCAGCTGAGGTGGTCTTCGCCAATGCTCAAGATGCTGTGCAAGCTGAATTAGGAGATCAAATGCTGATTGTATATAATTATTGTTCCACTTTGCCTGGGCTTATCAAGCCCTCCAAATTTCTTAGGCACCGGAACCTTTCCGCTGGAAGAATTTTCGAGTCGAGAGCACCGGGATACACCTGGTCAGTGGTTAAGCCACGAAAAACGACTTATTTTTCGAGCGTCTTTCCACCCGACCGGGTTGACCACAAACTGGGACGCCAGAACAAAGGAATGCAAATGGTCGGATGACTTCATTAGATTGTGCAGCTTATTTGAATCCATTTGCTTGGCGACATGCTGATTCTCCAGCGCTAGTATCTCACTCAGGTCACTCTTCTCTCAGCTGCTTCCGGGCACACGATTGCGAAGCCACTGCGGGCCTCAACCTTAATTGTTGATCGTTTACGACATGTTTGGGCAAGAGACCCACACCAAAAATCACCAAAACACACGAACAATATGTCACAAGATGTCTTCCAAGGCCAGGTCCACAATTTTTCCGCAAGGTACCTTCCAAGCCTGCTTATTTGAGGTTACAATTGGAAAACCATGTTCTTGGAAGATGTGCCCAAAAGAGAACAGGAACTTTTTGAATGCCCAGGTTTTCATCTTGTTGACCCGTAATTGACCCTAATGTGAAAAACACGCCTGATGCATTGTGGGTTCCACTGTTCCCCTGGGCTTGTGGCGGCCGTGCTGCTTCTGCATGAGTGCGTCATATTAGTTTGCCTTCCGAGGCCATCCAATCTACGTTTGACCTGCCATCTTGGGCTGCACATTCCGTCGGGCTGCAGGACTGGCGTAGTGTCAGGCTCTCCGGTCTTTGCATGGCATTTCCATATGCTTTTAGTATCAAGGCATGGTCAATGGTTATATAGGCTCATTAAACGTTGCATTTTTACATGTGTTCAGGATTATATGTGGCGAAGACGCTCGCTGCAACCTCAGTATACAGTATGTACATAAGCGTATATACACACATTCAGTTACTGTACAAAGTATATATATTATGTAATATATATATGTATAACATAGTGTGCATGCATATATATTATATGAGTTATATATAATATATACTTTCTCTTGCATTGATATACATATGTATCATGCATGTATATATATATATACATATAGAGAGAGGCATGCACGTATGGATGAGATTGCATGCACTTCCCCCTCCCTTGTCCTTTGATGTTTGACAGATTGGTTTTCTTCGCCGATGGGCCACGACATTGAATGAACACGATTGACACAGTGTGCGGAATGCGCACACTTTCAGTCATCCTACGACAGTCTTGACCATCGTCAGCCATTTACTGCTTGTATGTTGTTCATTGTTACTAGTTTTAAGAGCAAGCTATGCATGCAACTGTACACGTAGTTTGTTTTATGCCTTATGCAACTCTGGCTCGTATGAAGGGGCCAGATCGGGTACATGCGTGCCTTCTGCAGCGAGGCCACTGGCAGGAGGGAAAATGTCTGGTTTTCGATGATTCCTTCGAGCACGAGGCGTGGCGAAAGAGCTAGAATAAGCACCCGCTAACCCACATCAATGCTGGTCAAGAATCTGAGGCAGGTGTTTGAATGCCAGCTTCTTCAAACAGACAGAATTTGTCAAGCATATTGATTGGGCTCAAGGTCAGGATGTTGATGTAAATGCAGGCATACTTCGTTGCTTTCTGCAAACCCTCAGGTTTGGCACGAAGGGACCGAAGCTCGAACTGTTCTACTGGTCAGACGCTTTGAATCTTTATGCACTGACCATATTCTGTGAGGGTGGCCTGGCCTGGCTTGACTGTTTTTGAACCTGTCACTGTCACTATTCATTACGGGGGTCTAGTGTTTTTTGTTCCCGTTTTGGTGCTTTTTGTTCCCGTGGTGTTTCCCTTTCCCGGAATCGTGTTTTCTGTTCCGGGAGGTTCCCTAGGGTGTTTTCTGTTACCGCCAGGGTGCTTTTTGTTCCCAGTAATATTATAGCTGCAGCGCCTCCCCCGTTCCAGCAAACGGGAGCTTGCTATGCGAACCAAGTAGAGACAGCGATGTTTCGCTGTTTGTACTTGGTTTGCATAGAGACAGCGGTTGGTTACACTGTGTGTTGCATATACCATGCAATGCAAACCTAGTACAGACAGCGAAACATATTATAGCGGCAGCGCCTCCCCCGTTCAAGCAAACGGGAGCTTGCTATGCGAACCAAGTATAGACAGCGGTTGGTTTCACTGTTGTTGTATATACCATGCAGCTGCTTGGGAAAGATACTTCATCTTTATGCTTGGCTGAAGGTTGGTTGATACAAAAATGGAAGTTGCTTGGTTCGGCGCGTTGGTTGGTTGCTCGCTTGGGTGGGCACTGTGGTTCAATACTTATGAACACAGAAAACTCCTCTCCGGGAACGTAAAACCAGAAAGCGGGAAGAATTAAACCCCTTTGGCGGGAACAGAAAACACCCGCGGTAACGTAAAACGCACACAGGCACTGAAAACACCATTCCGGGAAGGAAAACACAACGGGAACAGAAAACACCAAAATGAGAACAGAAAACCCGCAGCCCTTCATATGGCCGCAAGCTGTTTAGATTCGATGTTCGCAAGAAACAGCCAAAACGATGCCAGGCTTTCAGGTTCCTCAAGTTGGTTGAGAACAATGACGAGGTCCCGCGCGCACGCTTCGGCAATTGCCTTGAGGTCAACTTTTGGCATCCAGATGTGCCGCGTGAGATGCTTCGGCCTTAGATTCAAGACATTGACCAACTGCCGAATCACAAGTATTATGCTGCATCTACAACTGTACACCAATGTATGTTACACACTTCTCGGGTGAATTTAACGATTGATGGTGATAGACTGTGGGTTATTCAGATATTCAAGGTGGTTGCCTCCAGCAGATTCATTCCCCCACATTTCTGCGGCCGCGGCCGCAAAGTGTCATGATTTAGCGAATCACCAAGCATTTATCATTCATTTATCACCTTAAGCGGATGAATGGCAGCCGTGTTGAATCCATTGCTACATTCTTAGATGGGCAGCACACCGAATTTGCTGTGGTCCTGCGTGAGTCTGACTGTCATCAGTTGCGTTCTCTTTGAACTCTGAACACCTGTGAGTTGTTCTGCTGGGGATATGAGGCGAGAGGAGTTGCCCAGACCCCAGGCTAATTTGGAAGTGTCCTGAACAAGCTCCTAAGTTAAACACACATTATCCCGGCAAGAGACCCCAAACAGTGTGTGTGAGGTCTATAAGCAGAAAGTCTAGAGAACTAGACGCATTGGGGTCCAGAGAGGTGATGGTGGTGATGACGGTGGCGGTGGTGGTGAGTGAGTGAGTGAGAGTTGAGAGTGAGTGTGAGTGAGTGCGAGTGAGAGTGAGTGATTTTGAATGTGAGTGTGAGTGAGTGTGAGTGAGTGTGAGTGCGAACGTGAGCGTGAGTGAGGAGTGGGTGTGAGTGTGAGCGTGTGTGAGTGAGTGAGAGTGAGGGTGAGAGTGAGAGTGAGAGAGTGAGCCTGCGCCGAAATCATCCGAAATCTGCACTTCGGTTCACAAAGTACTGCACCTGCCCCGAAAACTGCACTTCGAGGTTGGCAAAGTTGGCAAAGTGCTGCATTTGCCACGAAATGTGCACATCAAGGGTCACAGAGTGCTGTGCCTGCCACGAAATCTGCAAACGAGCCACAATGTCCAAAAGTCACGATTCACCGCACCTGTCACGAAATCCGAGCTCCTTGACGATCACCGCCATGTCCAAAAGCGCTGCACCTGCCATGAAAACTGCATTTCGAAGTAAAACAGCTCCAATCCCTTGCACGAGGCTTCCCTTGCAAAAATGGGCACGGCGCCACAACGCCCACGCAGATTTCGCGAGCCTGCGCAGTCGAAATGCACTTTGAGGATTTTGAAAGGCATGAATGTACTGTAAATAGCAACGAATTAGCCGTCACGCCCGTGCGCCCCAGCGATCTAAGCACAGCTGCTTTTCTACTACTGTAAGAACCCCTAAGTGTGTCCACACTGTCTGGGGAACCAAAAATGACTGCAGCTCATCCATAGGTGGAATGGAACAGGTTGGGGTAGTGTGTGCACCCATGTTGGTAGTACCTGGAAGTGACCCACGAATGATTTGCCAATTCTGCCAGCCGTGCCCGGTGAACCGTGTCACTCGTGGCTGTTTCAAAGGATTGTGGCCTCGAGATCAGCCCAAAGATCAGACACGGGAAAGAGATGAAAAAGCCAGCGTTAGAAGGGCCCAGGCTTTAGACACTTGATGCATGTTTAAGCTAACAAGGGTGCCCGGATGCTGGATTTGCTGTCCAGGGCCTGACCAACACTTGATTGATATTCTGATATTCTTGCTTGGACTTTGTTTCAAGGGTTTGTGGCCGAAGCGAGCAGCCTTGTCATCACGAAATGCCCGGAAATGTCTTGCAGCCGTTTCTGGTCAAGCGTGGGTGGCAAACATCGCCAAGACACAAGCCGAATAGTGGACCACGGATGGCTGCGGGGAGATGCCAACGAGGTTCTCCATCTCAGATCTCTTTGAGCACAGGCGGCGAATGCCCATGAATACATATGGTTTAAAAAAGTATCTATAATATATAATGTGTAACGCTCGTCTAATGATATGTATGTATGTGATGTAATGTACTGCAATGTGTGATGTGATGTACTGTAATGCACTGTAATGTCATGTATTGTATGTATGGTATTGTTTTGTTTTGTAATGTACTGCAATGTAGTGTATTGTATTTGTATGTGTATGTGCGCGTCTGTTTGTGTATGTATGTTTGTATGTATGTATGTATGTATGTTTTGTATGTATTGCGTGTATTGTTTCGAATGATTGATATGTAATGTAATGTAATGCAATGTAGTGTAATGTAAAGTAAGTGTGTATGTATTTTTGGCTTTATTAGTGTAATAACTACGTAATAATGTTCTGTTCTGTTCTGTCTGTCTGTATGTCTGTATGTAGGTATGTATGTAATGCATGTAATGCGTGTAATGCATGTAAAGCATGTAACGTAATGTAATGTAGTGTAAGGTAAGGTAAGGTAATGTATGTATGCATGCATGCATGGATGTAAGGACACACTGTGTATATATTTACATTTGTTTGAAAACGTCTATATCGCATATATATATATATACATATATATTTGTGTATGTTTTTACCGAGCAGCTGGATGAGGTTCTGAAATGTCCAACAACTTCTGATCATATACTTCAGAAGCTCGTTAGGCCAGTCCGGGGCACGACGCTTTGCTGCACGCTTGGACTTTGCATCCATTTGCAACCCGTGTTCCCAGATGCAATATGTGAGATGCGCTCCAGTTGAAGCTTATGTCCACATGTTGAGCTTATGGTTGGTTCTGATGCGTTGGAAAGCTCCTACCAGGGTTTGCAACTGTGTGTTTGGGACATGCTGATGTATACCATTGTATATACCTACCGTATATCTTCAAACAGCCTATATTATGTTTGCTAGATGTTTTTTCTGTCAATTAATCCCATTTAGGCACAAACACGCATATATACAAATATATAACTTGCTTCCATTCCGTAAGCTCAAGCTCCCCGGATTGCCCCACGTGTGCAGGACACACGTTTACTTGGCCAGCTGGCCAGAGCATTAACGTCCGCACCGTATGGGCCCAAGGGAGCCCGGCCCGCCCGAAACCAGACATGTTCCTCCAAAACAGACTTTATTTGTTCATAGAGAATTGCGCAGATACAGATTGTTTTGCTTTCCTTCGGCTTGCGTTTCCTCAAATAAAGGAGTTGAGAGGCAAAGCCACGCAAGATTACGTGTAGGTTTGTTGCCAATCCTACTTCTTTCACTCCACGGGATGTTTGCGCGTCATATAACCAAGTGCATGCCAAATGTGACAGATGACTTGTTTACGTGGATTGCGGCAAGTCCTCCTTTTGGGAAAAGATAAAGCACGATCCCATGACAAGAGAAAGACATGGAAGTTGACTAGCAGTTTCAAGGCAATTATTTGAAGATATACAGTATAAATGTGATATAATGAGAATGGGATGAATGAAGATCACGGAAGGAGTGTGACTAGTTAAAGCAGGCCACAGAAGTTCAGGAATCAGTTTGATGGCCGGACTCAATTAGTTTCTCCCTTTTATTCAGGAACAGCGTGCCCAGCATCCCATCTATCAGCCATGAGTTCTTGTCAATTCTTGTTTTTGTTGCAGCGTGTGGCTTTAGACCTTTAACGTGCAAGCACCGGTCTTGAATCTTTGATCAACCGGCTGGGACAAATCAGGCTTACCCCAGCTTTGAGTGTCACGGCCATATGTACGTCTCCGAAGATGTTTGCTCTTGTATGGCAGACCTCAACAGGACCTTAGCGACCACCTTTGTATAAACTAAGCGATGGAAGATCATCTTCCAATATCCGTGATTCTCAACTTTGGGCATGACTACAATGAGTTTCTAATCGAACTAGCAAGTCCGCCATGGCAGCGTTGGTTTGGGTGCCTCCCAGCCGACTGACAGAACATGGCTGAGATGTTTCAAAATTTGAACACATATGAACACATTATGTGTATGTTGCTGCATTCTTATGTGGGAAGTTGCAGACTTTCTTCAGAAGATTGGCTCCGCTCCAACTCGCACGCTCCGCTCCGTCACTTGATCGTTAGGATTGGCCTGCAGTGTGTGATGCAGCCATCAGTTGGAAGAACTGCAAAGGCGACACACTACACTCGTCATATCCCAACGGGCGAGTGCCAGGCTTTTGAAGGAGTCGACAGGTGACTGTTCGATTAGTCGCATCCACACAGGTGCAATTCAGGTGTATGACAGCCGGAAAGACATGCTAAAGAACAGAAAGGTCCAAACAAGAAACAAGGTCCAAACAGAAGAAAGCTAAAACAAAAAGGGGGGTCCAATGGGGTGTTGTTTTGAGACGAGCATGGCCCCAGCACCAGCGTTTGACACCCTGCAGGTGTCGCTATGGTTCACCAAAGAGGGCTGCGGCGGAGCTGATCCCCAAGTCTCCTAGCCAAACTTTCCGTTCAGACTGCGATCCTCAAGAGGAGACGGGAATATTGGTCAGTGGGGCGGAGGAACTGCAAATGTTTACTGGTTGGTCGACAGGATGCCATTTGCGACCGCCGAGCTGGTATTCCAAGCTAGAAGATGGCCCTGTTTGTGCCCGATGAGTCCTAGTCCAAGCTTGACAACAACCCATGATAGTCACTGTCAGTCCGTGGGCCAAGAACGATAAGGTGGTCGGAGAAGGCAAAGCTTCTGTTCGTTCTTGTTAAAATTAAGCTTATTTATCTCAAGGTTGCCAAATGGGCCCACAGTTGTGAAGTGTAGAAACAACATGTTCTGGTCTATCAGACCATTCTCTATATCAAAGGATGTATTATGATGTATTATGTTTTTGGGCAGATGGCCTCCGAAAACCCAAAGTTATTGAAGTACTATCCTTATGTTTGATGGTCTCAAGGCTGGGCTCAAGCGCAATTGTCAACCCACGTTTGCAATTCTTCAAGCCCAAATGGAGACCTGCTTTTTGCATGGGGACCTGCCTTCCTCAGGATTTTTGCGTGGGCTTTGCTGCCTCGGGGGTGGAAACTGGGTCACTGCCGTTCAAATAACAGATGAGCCTTGTTGAGCTGTATATCGACTTCCTCGTATCGACCAAGTCACAGGCTCCGTGTCATACTTGATCAGAACAACCGCGGTAGTGACAAGCTGAGGCTTTGGGAATTTCATATGGCTGCTGACCAAATAGGCGAAACCAGCGCCTTCACAATGGCGGTTGATGTTCTTCACAAGGCCAGGCTTCAACTCTTCCCACACATTTCTCTCAACAGGGACAGATTTAAACATATTTGTCTACAAATATACGTTTAAACTGCACATGTTGGCATTTACATATCGTTAAGCAGTTAAGCATATATGTGTACAACAGAGTTTACTTCTCTCAAAACTGTTGACCTGTCTACACCTCACAGAGGTGTCAGTTGTCAGCCTAATTACGTTAGTTGAAGGGGATAATGCTGCTAAGTTGCTCATAGATCCCCCGGTACTGTTTGGCATCTCAATTGCCCCGTTTGCCGCCTTTTGGGCTATTCCATTAAAATGCTTAGAATGTGTTATAATGTGTTCCTTCTCTTCGGAAGGGATTCCAATGTGTGCCAGCGGGCAAAATTCAGATTTTGCCCTGGGAAAGCTCTCGCCCGTGAATTTGTAGCATGTGAGTTTCTGCTCGCTTTCCTTGTTTGAACATGAATTTTGCTCTTTATATTGCTGATTTGGATACACGAATCTCGACAACTCAGTGGCACTGAAGGTGGTGCCAAACGCGGTCACAGGCAGTCGTGTCTATATTTGCAAGCCCAGGCATGGAGAAACAGAACAGAGGGAACCAGAGGCCCTGTGACGCTATCGGACGCTATGCTGGAGCCAGCAAGGTCAGGTTATTCGAGGTCGGCACAAAGAAGCTGCGTCATTATGTTTTTTGTTTCTTCGATTTTGCATTATATATGTGGACTGAGATTCTAAGATGCTTCAATTATATCTCTAGCGGCTCTAGTGGGCAAGGGCTTGTGCCACGCATTTTGATCATTTTGCATCTCTTTGCCGACGCCGCTCTTCTAGACAAGGGGGTCTGAGTGTAGAGCAGAGGGCACAAGGACCCCGAAGAGCTAGGCGGTAGGTCCCCGCGATTGCGTGGGGCAGAGCTGTGCTGGGGTTTCCTTTGCTCGCCATGACGACCAAACCCGTCGCTAAAGGCGATGCCATCGACTTCAATTTGGAGACCATGACTGTTGAACAGGGCCTGCATCTCATAGAGCAGGAGCGTGTGCAACCGCTCCTGACCTACCTGAGAACTGGTGTGTTCGAAAACAGGAACAACATGACCTTCATGAAGGCGTACTCGGTCGTTGTACAGTTTGGCGACCAACAACAGCACTCCTTCAAGCTTTATAGCTATTACAAAAAAGTCATTCAGGACTATTGCACTGAGGCCATGTCTTCCTTAGCCCTAGTCTCGGGCGAAGAGCTGCTTTCTGCACTGGCCGATTTGTGGGAAAAGAACACGATCCTCGTCTTTTGGATGCAGCGGGTCTTTCAATACTTGGATCGCTTTTTCACGAAGAGCAGCACTGAACATCCCGATCTCTTCAAAGCTGCGCTTCAGTGCTTTACCGACACCGTCTACTCCAAGGTCAAAGACAAGTGTGTGGCGGCAATGGTAGCTGTAGTCAACAGAGAGCGCGATGGATACGAGATCAATCAGGATTACATGAAGGGTTCGGCAGTATAGGCTATATACTGTGGACTACTGTAACAATTCTTTCTCCATCATTCACCGTGCATTTTTTTCGTACCTTTTGTGAAACGTGACTAACGAGGACCCTTCGCCAATGAAAGAGCAGAGGCGAAGGAGAACCATGGAGAACCCCAAAAATCATCCATGTTCATCAAACGTGGCCATCGGACTGTGTTGGACGATGTTGGATTTGAGAAGCTCTGAAACCATCCAGATCTATGTGCTTAATTAGTGACCATTTGGGCCGCCGTTTGGGACTTGGTCACAGGATGTCTTGCGCCTCTTGGTGGAGATGCTTTGCACTGTGGGGGATACAGGCCCCAAGGTTGTCAAGCAGAAGGAAGGCATCGACAAGAGCTCCGCGGACCGGCTCCTCTGGCAGTCCCAAGCTCGGGGCTCTTACAAGAACGACTTCGAAAGCTCGCTCTTGTCTGCAACCCAAGAGTAGCTAGCTTTGAAGTGGCGGAACTTTGGGGAGTTGGAGTGGAGAACAGTTATAAATGTTACTGTATTTATCTGAGTCTCTTGAGGCCCCTCTTGCCATATGGCTAGGATCTTTCATCTTGAAGGACTGCTTCAGCAGCATTTGTTTGCTGTCAGGTACTACCGCAACAAAGTGGCAGGATGGATGGCGGCCTATTCTTGTCCGATCTTCCTTGCAGAGATTCAAAAGCGCCTGGATGATGAGGAAAGCCGGCTGAGCCGCTACCTGGACTCTTCATCCGAGACGGAGTTGAAACGAGTGGTTCAGATGGAGCTGATCCTCAACACCGCCAAGCAGCTGGTTGAGATGAGTACAGGTGCACAGTCGATGTTCCAGAACCAACGCTATGAGGAATTGAAGCTCATGTGACTTGCTTGCTCTTGATTTCCTTTCTGGGAAGCTAATACAGATGGCCTCCAACCTAGAAGCGAGTTAGTTCCTGGATTTTCAGGGAAACTATATATTCATTTAATTTAGTAGGCAGTAGACTCTGTAGACTTCAACATCCCCAGCGCGGAAGCCATCTGAGTCTACGTCTACGTTGAGTTTGTTTACCCCAAGTCTGCGAATCCCTCGGAAGGTTAGCATGAAAAAGAGCCAACATCTCTGCATATGCATAGATTCACCACTCCAAGGTACAGAATCTTCAGACGCGAACCGACCATGCTTCCCCACCTCATCTCGGTGATGGAGCCCTACATTGAGCAGAGATGCTCGCGGATCGTTGAGGATCAGCAGATGATCGACAACCCTCCCACCTACACCGAGAGAGTGCTCGAGTTGAAGAAGGAGGTTGACGACATGGTGGTATCTTGCTTCGAGTCTGATACAGGCTTTCAGAAGGGCCGGAACAAGGGCCTGGAGGCCATTCTGAACAAGGATACACGCTGTGCCAAATATCTGGCCTTGTTCAGTGACCTGCAGCTCAAGAAGGGCTTAAAAGGTCGAAATGAGGACGAGGTGCAGTCGTTGGTGAACCAGGTGGTCGGCCTTTTTGCCCACTTGAAAGACAAAGACATTTTCCTTGACATCTACAAGAGCGCGCTCTCCAGGCGCCTGTTGAACAAGCTCTCTGTCTCGAACGATGCTGAGGACTGCTTCATTACGAAGCTCAAGGTGGAGTGCGGGCAGCAAGCCATTCAAAAGCTTGCTTCGATGTTCACAGACATGGCCCTGAGCGATCAGCTGCAGGAGGAATACATGAAAGGTTCCCACAGTGGCTCTCCTGGAGGGGTCACTCATGAGGTCCGTGTGCTGCAAACAAATGCATGGCCAGAGAAGGCGGATGATGCACCGGTGGTACCTTGTCAGGAAATGTTAACCTGCATCAGGGCATACGAAGCCTTCTATCATGCAAAGCACAACGGACGAAAGCTCCGCTGGATCTACAACATGGGCCAAGTGGAGATTAAGTGCCACGGCTTAGCACGTCAGCATCTCTTGGTGGTCTCAGCTTACCAGTGCCTGGCATTGATGCTTTTCAATCACCGAAAAGACACCTAACAGGAATTAGACGGAATCAGCTTGATTCAAAGTATGCCAAGCTTGCTTTTTTGATGATGCACGATTTGTTTCATTCTTTTGTTTGTATGCTTTGGATCCTTGCGACATGTGTTTATCCATTTCCTAGCGTCAGGAAGTGACCCTGAAAGAAGTCTGCGAAGCAACCAAGCTGCCAGAGGAGGAATGCAGACGGCAGGTAATGTCATTGACAGTACCTCAGCCTGAAGAAAGAGGCACAAACCCTTTGTTTGAACAAGGACTTTGTGGATTCCTTGCTTTCTGGCATTCCTCTTTGTGTGTGGGTTCTGCGTGGTCAGACGGGAAATCAAAAACTGCGAACACTAGGGAGCCAAGTTGTTTATTCTTATTTGTGTTATTATTCTTTGTTCCTTTCCCTACTGAGGTGTCGAGACACAAGGTGCTGATGCATGATGGCACTGGAAAAGACTTGAGTATTGATGCCAAACTGCAGGTCAACTCCAGCTTCACCAGTGAGAAAATTAAGGTGCAAGTAAGCCTCATCAAGAAAGAGGAGAAGGCTGGTGAAACCACTGCCTTGGCAGAGGCCCCTGTGGAAAGGAAGCACGTCATTGATGCTGCAATCGTGCGCATCATGAAGTCCAGGAATCGATTAGAACACAATGCCCTTCTGGAGGAGGTCTTCAGACAATGCACCCTCTTCAAGCCGCAGCCGACACAAATCAAGAGTCAGATTGAACATTTGATCGAGAGAGAGTTCTTGAAGCGAGATGAAAAGAATCGGAATGCCTACATCTATTTGCCCTAGGCTGGGCCTCAAGCCGGCCGGGGGCTTTGACCATGCCACCATGCTTGCCTGCGCCGCAAAAACTAACATGCGATTTGCAAGCTGAGCGAGTGAGAAACGCCTATGGAAATTGTAAGCATTACTGGACACTTTTATCTATATATGTTGCATTTCTTTCAGCAAGCTAGCTTTTTGAAGATTGAGGCACATCCAGGATGAAAAACACCTGATCAATCGGCCTGAAAGATAAAAGTATCTTGACACCAGGATGTGCTTGACCTCTTCAGTGACTTGGCCAAGCTTGTTCGCTTCTTTGTGCCTCATTTAGTCAAGAGCTGTGTGCGACGGTTGGGCAGTTCCGCAGGATATCTGGTAACTTCTTGTTGTCGCACTCAGACGGACATGTTTTGAAATGTTCCTTCCTCATTTGCTCAATTCCTCCGAGCAACGAGACACAGGCTTTGCATGAATGGATGCGTCAGGCCTTTGTGTTTTTCAACCTCCCTGAAGTTGAAGTCCACACACTAACATTATATAACACGTTGTCGGCTTCCCTATGTGATGTTTTCAAAATTCTTTGCATCCCAGCTGAGGCTACACCAGTGGCTTTGTCGCAGCAGCTTTGGGAGGAGCCAAGAGCACAGGTGCGGTGGATGCAGCGCGAAAGGCAGTGGAGGCCCTGAGTTGAGGTCAATCAACCCCGCTGGGTTTAGGATTTCTTACTTTTTTTGCTGTATGCACCAGGCTATTTGTTTATGCTTTTTTGATATCGGTTTCTCAGAACCTTTGAAGTCATGAAAAGCCTGAGATAGGATCTTTGTGTCTTTATGTATATATGGATCTAGAATGATCTATATAGATAGACTTGGCGAGCTAATGACGTTGTTATGCTTCTTGGTGTTCAAATCTTCTTCGTTGAGTGGCATTGAGGGGTGTTTATTATGGTTGGAAGAATGGGTGGCTTCCGCACTTCAATTCTTTGGGAGCTTGTGAATCAGTGCTTCAACAGAGATGCTGTTGGATCCTGCCGACAGGGGCTTTGTTCAGCATGACAACATGTCAATCGCCTTCATCCCTAAGGCGCAGCACTGCGTGATGAATCCTATGTACGACGCTGGCTGCCTGAACTTGAACATCCTGCTGGCTCTATCCACACAGGAGGACCTATTTTTTGACGTGCCGAAATCATGTTATGTTTAATCGATACAAAAGCCATATAAAAACCTACTTGTTAGCCAGTGATCAATGAAGGGTCAGAGAATGTCGAAGAAAGTATGTTGACGCCGCGGAGGAGCTGTGAGGGGCCACATCGCTCCACTTGCCACAGAGCCGCTGCAGCTTGGCCGGCGCAAGCTTGGAGTGTGGCAGGCGGCTTTCAACAAAACACTCATCAGGCCATTGAGCCCTATGCAGGCAAAGCCACAGATTCCAGGCAGCCAAACTGCAGGGCGATGGCAGCTGCAGCAGGACAAGGAGAAACAAAGAGATTTGGAGTAAGTCTTGCTTTGTGACGGAGGTGCAAGGGAAAGCTTTGAAAATATCGAGCCTTTGATGTCAGTTGATTCTGCTGGGCATTACTGGCTGCTACAGGTGGATCATGTGCCGAATCGAAATATCCAGCATGGCTTGACCCCCTCCACAGTCCCACTTTTTGAAAGTTCAGATTGATCAGAAGAATTCTCAGTGAGGTACCTGAACGATCCTGAATGTATCTACAGTAAATGTCACATACGGAGCTGTCGCACGAGCAGGCAGTTTGGAGCAAGTGAGCCCCTCTCCAAAGCCAGTTTGAGGCTCCTTGAAGAACTCTTCACCAATATTGAAAACAGCTATGTATATAATTCATAATGAGGTTAGCAACAGATCGAATTAACAGGCCTTCTTGCCTAACAGCTTGAAGGGAAGAAACCTGCCGTGCAGAGCCAGCCACGTGATTGTTACTTTAGTGTTTTGATTCATTCGAAGATGTCTAGGGGGAAATGATCCGGGAAATGGTTTGTAATTTGTACTGGTTTGTAATTAGTTTGGAACTTTCAAGAGGAACAGCTTTGTCGTGGTGGTGTGTGGTTCAATTGCTGCCAGGACAATACATAGTCAGGGCTACTGTGTCCGCCTTTACAAGCAATAGCCATTCTTTACATTCATCTCCCAGTCGGGGTGCATCCGCTTGCTGGCAGCTCCTCAGTAGCAATTCTATACATTTGGCTCCCAGCTGGCTAGTGTGTCCTTCTTCTGGCAAGGCCTTAGTAGGAGTTCTGCACATGTGCTGACCAGTCTAAGCTAGAGTCCCTGAACCTTCAATAGCAATTGATTTATATTTGTCTCCCAGTCTGGGCCACTGCACCCGCCTTCTGGCAGAAGCAACGCCTTCCGATAGTCATTTTTGGAGATGCAGATAGAGGGGTGTAATTCATTCTGATTAATGATATTGTCATTGTCATTCTTCTCCCTGGTGTTATTTCAGTCGTCTCTCAGCAGGTTGAGAGTCAACCAGCTGACAACATGTTTTCTGATTCAAATCCCTGGCGTGAATTCGAGGATCAATTGGAGCATGAAACTGAAAGATATTAGAAGAGCAGCGGAGCCTGGCCAAGCAAGCTTGATGGTCGTGCATAGCACCTATCATTGGTGCAACATGGTGCAACTATATCAGGCCCGCACAGGGCCAGAAACCCTTGTAAGCCATAGCTGTCCATCGAATTCTTCGCCATTGATTGCTGTCACGCCCAAATCGACCCGGCCGAGGTGGTTTTTGCAAATGCTTAAGATGCCGTGCAAGCCCTCCAAATTTCTTTGGCACAGGAACCTTTCCGCTGGAAGAATTTTCGAGTTGAGAGCACCGGGATGCACCTGGTCAGCTGTCAAGCCTTTTCGACTTATCTTTGAGCGTGTTTCCACGCGACCGGGTTGACGACGAACTGGGACGCCAGAAGAGAAAATTGCAAACAGTCAGATGATGGAGAGAATTTACATGAGATGTTGACAGGTTGTTGGAATCCATTTGCTTAGCGGCATGCCGATTCTCCAGCGCTAGTAGCTCACTCAGGTCACTCTTCTCTCGGCTGCTTCTGGGCACACGATTGCGAAGCCACTGCGGGCCTCGACCTTAATTGTTGATCGTTTAAGACATGTTTGGGCAAGAGACCCACACTAAAAATCACCAAAACACACGAACAATACGTCACGAGATGTCTTCCAAGACCACGTGTACATTTTTTTTCCACAAGGTACGTTCCAAACCATTCCAAGCCTGCTTATTTAGGTTACAATCGGAAAACCATGTTCTTGGAAGATGTGTGTAAACGTTTTGGATGCCCATGTTGTCAGCTTGTTGACCCGTAATTGTCAGTAATGTGCAATTGTGGGTTGCAGTTTGTGGCGGCAGTGCTGCTTCTGCATGAGTGCATCATATTAGTTCGCCTTCCAAGGCCCCTGCCATCTTGGGCTGCACATTCCGTCGGGCCGCAGGACTGGCGTAATGTCAGGCTCTCGGGTCTTGGCATGGCATTTCCATACGCCTTTAGGAACAAGACATGGTCAATGGCTAAGGCTCATTAAATCATCAAACGTTGCATTTTGACTGCAACCTCAGTATATCTTTTAAAATGTACATGCAACTATGCAACTGACTGTGGAGGAGTCGAGGATGGGCGCGGCGAAAGAGCTAGAAATAGGATGAAATAAGCACCCAGTGAGGCAGGTGTTCGCATGCCAGTTTCTTCAAACAGTGTTGATGCAAATGCATGCTTTGTCGCCTTCTGTGAACCCTCAGGTTTGGCACGAAGGGACAGAAGCTCGAACTGTTCCGCCGGTCAGCCGCTCTGAAGCTTCGCCTTTGTCACCGTTTGCGGCAGTATGTAAGATGCACCGACCAGCGTACTGACCATATTCATTATTCTGTAAGGGGTGGCCTGGCATGGCTTGACTTCTGTTTTGTTTTTGAACCTGTCACTGTCACTATTCATTTGGGCGCACGCTGTCTAGATTCGATGTTCGCAAGAAACGGCCAAAATGATGCCAGGCTTTCAGGTTCCTCAAGTTGGTTGAGAACAATGAAGAGGACCGCCTTGAGGTCAACCTTTGGCATCCAGAGGTGCCGTGCCACGTGAGATGCTTTGGCCTGAGATTGAACAAGACATTGACCAAATGCCGAATCACAACCATTATGCATCGTATATCAATGATTACCAATGATACACACTTCTCAGTTGGACTTAACGGTTGATGGTGAGAGACTGTGACTGTGGGTTGTTCAAGATATTCATGGTGGTTGCCTCCGGCAGATTCCTCTCCCGACATTTCTGTGGCCGCAAAATATTAATGATATAAGTACAATCACCAAGCATATATCATTTATCACCTTGAGCGGATGAATTGCAGCCGTTGTGAATCCATTGCCACCAGCACATGGTGTTACAACACAATCGGCCTACATGGGCAGCACACCGAATTTGCTGTTCTTTGTTTTGATGTCCTGCGGGAGTGTGACTGTCATCAGTTGCGTTCTTTTTAACCTCTGAGCACGGGTGAACATATGCTGGGGATTTGAGCCGAGCGGAGTTGCCCAGACCCCAGGCTGATTTGGTTCAGGGACCAGTACCGAAAATGGTTGCAGCTCATCCATAGGTGGAATGGAATAGATCGGGGTAGTGTGTGTGCGCCCATGTTGGTAGTACCTGATTGTGCCTGACACATTACAGAGAAGTGACCCACGCATGATTGCTGCCAGCCGTGTCCTGTCAACCGCGTCACTCGTGGCTGGCGCAAAGGATTGTGGCCTCGAGATCAGCTCAGAGAGCAGACATGGGAATGAGATGAAAAAGCCAGCGTTAGAAGGGCCCAGGCTTTCCATTTTTGAGATACTTCATTCATTCTTGTGCCAACAATGCTAGATTGGCTGTTCAGAGCCTGACAAACACCTGATGAATATGCTTTGCTTGGACTTTGTTCCAGCCTTGTCATCACGAAGTGAGCAGCCTTGTCATCACGAAATACGCAATGCTACTAGGTCTCGGAAATGT